ATATTATATATATTATATATATATATATATATATATGAATGGTATGTAATGGTATGTAATGGTAAGTATATGTGAATCATTCACGGCAATTATTTATAGAATATAGTAGGGGGGGTGATTTTGACAAATGTCAATCACGTGGAATGTACATTGTTAGTCAAGAGTTTTATTTGTTTTGGTCCACTTGGAGGAAAAGCCGACTCAATCCCTGTCAGTTGGATTTTAATGACGCTGTATGTAATATGTTTTCAGAATCTAAGTAACAATCCACTGATCCACATATATCCACATCCACGTCTTTATACATGTGTATACATATAATATACATGTGTGTATAATTGTGATATATATATATATACATATAAATTATGTATACCTCTTGCGACGCCTGGGCTTTTGCATTGCATTCCGGAAGTGGATTGCTCCTATCCAAACGGGGAATATGAATATGGATAGGGAATCCCGAATTTGTGTGGCTTCCGTATCATCTCATGACGAAATCAGATAGTTAAAAGTCATAATAGTCGACTGCATGATGATCACCATTTTGATTTTGGTGGTTACATTATTGTCATTATTTGTACCTGTGTTTGTTTCCATGCAGCAGAAGTTGGTTCCCCAAATGTAGATGTGTTTTGGCCCGCAATTCCCAGTATTTTTTGTGACCTAATTATATATATTATATTATATCATATTATAATATCTATTTATATATATATCCGGCCCTGGTTGCAGGTGGATTCACTTCATGATGACCACTTTGCACGGCGCTGTTTGCACCTTCTGTTCTTAGCCCTGGAAGCAGACTCCTGTCATCTATGAGCCATACTTCACAATTCACAATACAATCTCCTACTTACGGGCGAAAATCTGTGCGGATATCAACTAACGTTGATGTTGCATATGCCAATGTATACGAGTATATGGTACGACATAAAATTTGATGATGTGTCAAAGTGATCCAGGGAATCTCGGATCAAATCAGTTTATCCATGATTGAGTGCCAACCAAGGATGAGTTTATCTCGTCCAAAGGTTTGCCCGACGCTGAGGGTGCTGGGCAGCGATGGATGCGTCCCTGGGTTTTCAACTTGGGGTGCATCGGAAAGTCAGGAGGCCGGAGTCCCCACAAGACCCAGAAGCGTTGGTTTTGGGGTGTTACAGTACATGGTGATTCAGTTGAATTTGAGAGACAGCGATCTAGACTCTAGAGTGAAATAGTCAGTCTAGAATCTAGAGTGAAATAGTCAAGTGTTCTACTCTGTTATAGGGACGGTCTTCTTGAGGTTGATTGATACGATACTGACTTGGTGGAAAGCAGTACAAAACTGCGGATCCAAACACTTGTCGAGTGAATACGTTGTTGTTTTTCTTAAGTATAGCCGTGATCTACGGCCTTGATTGCATTGAAGGAGGGGAATGTCCATCAACACTTCATTTCAACTGCGTCATGAAACCATGAGATTGACACGCTAAATTAAAGTGACAAGCCTACTCAGGGGAAGCCGAGAGGTCATAAGTCAAGACATTGGCACCCACTGAGTTTTAAACTTAGGATAGTATAGGTATGGGTAAAGTTTGGGACTAAAATTTAAACCCATGTTTTACCCATATCTATATTATCCTATATGTGTTTTCATTTCATGTCCTTCCTATTCTAGTTTTGTTCTTTCTTAGGATTGTACATTGCAGAAACAAAACGCAAAGCTCCCCAAGCCATCTAAAGACATCTAAAACCACGTAGCCCACAGGCGTCTAATTTTGCCAAGAACATGCAAAAATAATCATAAATATCCAAAAGCATCCATATTCATCCATGTCCAAAATACGTCCAAGACGTAAAAAAAACGGGCGATGCTCCTGTTTTTTTGGAGTCCCACGGGCCCTTGGCACCTTGGGGTGTCACCCCATCGCCCAGGTGAAGTCCACCAACTGGGACTGTGGCAAGAGCGGATTCGACCAGGGCAGCACGGAGGGATGCTGATGATGCTGTCCTTCAAGAGTCACTTGGCGGATCAAGGTTGACCCACTTGGAATGGCAAAACATGTGTGCAGTGAGTTTTTTTGTTGCGTATGATTAGGTTTATAGCATAATATATATAATATATATATAATATATATAATATATATTATATATGGGAGCCGTCCGTAAAAGCAGGTCACAAATTTATGAATTGATGCGTTTACTTTGCTTTGCGCGATTGCTAAAACCTGCATCGCGATAGGCTGAGCGATTGGTTGGCGATTGGTTATACGGCTACCACCCTATACTACTACTACTACTACTACTACTAGTACTACTACTACTACTACTACTACTACTACTACTACTACTACTACTACTACTACTACTTTCGAGACCAGAACCATGCCAATAATTGACATGGCCGCGCGGAATCCGCGCGCGCGGAATCCGCGCAGATGTTTTCAGGTCAGAAGGACATTCAAGCTAGCTCCAATTGAAAACAGGTCAGAAACAGGTCAGAAACAGGTCAGAAACACCAAAAAGGCAGCACTTGCCTAGCATCCCATCCATCCATCCATCCATCCATCCACCTCGGCTCTTATCATTGCTACTAATACTACTACTACTACTACTACTACTACTACTACTCCTGCTACTACTACTACTGCTACTGCTACTACTGCTACTACTACTACTACTCCTACTCCTACTCCTACTCCTACTTCTACTCCTACTCCTACTCCTACTCCTACTACTGGTATTATTGTGAGTTTTCCGGACCGTTTCCGGACCGCGCAATTTTCTTTTCTTCTCAAATATGAAAACGAATGCGTTCATGGGCGGATCCTTCTACTAGTGTTGCTACTACTCTCAGTATTACCACTAGCGCCGCTACCACTGCAACGCCGCTACCACTACTACACCGAGGAATTTTTGCCTTTGCTTTTCTCCACTTGACAGAAGTTCCACGGAAGGGTCAGAAATAGTCAGAAACCAGTCAGAAACCGGCCAAACGCAACCTCTCTCTCTCTCTCCCTTGCCTATTCCCTCACCCTCCTACCAGAACTCCTACGCCTACTCCTATTCCAATTTCCACTACCACTACTGCTAGTGCTACTGCTACTGCTAGTGCACTGTGAGTTTTCCGGACCGTTTCCGGACCGCACAAGCTTATTTTGCTCCCAAATTTGAAATCGAATGCGTTCACGCATGGATCCTTACTCTCATTACTAGATTTGCTACTACCCCCAGCACTACCACCACACCCGCTGCTACTGCACCACCCTGCACCACCACTACCACCACTACCACTAGTACACCTAGGAATTTCTGCTCTTGCTTTTAAATCCAATTGCACTCGTGTGAAGGGTCAGAAACGAGTCAGAAACCAGTCAGAAACCAGTCAGAAACCCGTCAGAAACCGGCCAAACGCAATCTCTCTCTCTCTCTCCCTTGCCTATTCCCTCACCCTCCCATCAGAACTCCTACGCCTACTCCTATTGCAATTTCCACTACCACTACTGCTAGTGCTACTGCTACTGCTAGTCCTGCTGGTACTACTGTGAGTTTTCCGGACCGTTTCCGGACCGCGCAAGCTTATTTTGCTTCCAAATTTGAAATCGAATGCGTTCACGCATGGATCCTTACTCCCACTACTAGATTTGCTACTACTCTTAGTACTACCACCACACCCGCTGCTACTGCACCACCACTACCACTAGTACACCTAGGAATTTCTGCTCTTGCTTTTAAATCCAATTGACACGAGTTCCGCTGAAGGGTCAGAAACGAGTCAGAAACCAGTCAGAAACCCGTCAGAAACCGGTCAAACGCAACCATCTGTTTCCCCCTCCCTCCCTCTCTCTCTCTCTTTCTCTCTTTCCCTCCCTCTCCCTTTCTTCCCTTGCCCTGCTACTAGAACTCCTTCTCCTATACTCCTACTCCTACTCCTACTCTTACCCCTCTCTACTACTACTACTACTACGACTACTACTAGTACTAGACTAGTACTACTAGTACTACTAGTACTACTAGTACTACTAGTACTACTGCTGCTGGTACTACTGTGAGTTTTCCGGACCGTTTCCGGACCGCGCGAGCTTATTTTGTTCCCAAATTTGAAATCGAATGCGTTCACGCATGGATCCTCATTATATAATACATAACTTATATTTTATGTATATGATCTGATCAACGAAGAACAAACCCTTCCGCGATTGCTCACTGTGGTACCGCGGTTGCTACGCGATTGGCTGAGCGATTGAGGGCTGTCCGGGAAAAGGTATTTTGGACAACCCCCATATATATATACATATATTACATATGATTATATATATATATATATATAGGTGATGTTATTTTATTGCACGATCCATGTGCTCCAGGCCTGGCGCCGGCCATCCGCCTCTTAGCGAATGGCGATGATGCGACCCGAGATCTGATGGCATGGGCCGGCCCCGTGCTGAGTGTGGACGATGCCTGGGACGGGGGATGAGATTCTGCCTTGGACTGATCTAAATCGATATGATAATGATATGATAATGAATTACACTTGATATGGGATTATGATTATGATAAAACGAATTTGAATGACACTTGATATATCTTGATATGATAATGACAATGACACTGATTGAAATCGACAGAGACCATTTTTACGTACCTATCTTGTAGGATCCATGAACGATCTCAGGCATTTCTTGCTCAATTACTTCCAAGATAATATGCATGCACCAAAAACCGGACCCAACCTGTAACCATTGCCATTTCCACAAGTTATGGCAATCTAACTGTCCGACGGTCCAATGGTTGAGCCAGCGAGAAGGTGACCCCATTCCCGAAACTGGCGTAGACCGAGCGAGGTTTCACTGCGGATTGCGCATGAAAAGAACAGATTTCTGCGTGGATATGGGTAGTGTACAAAGACTGCCACTCTCTACAGTCACATCATGTGCACAGTTCGCTGTCGGGGTTTGACCAAGGACAGCCATTCTGATCTTCCACCCCTGCCAATGAGTTGCTGCCCCAGCTGCCAGGATCGACTCACCACCTTCACCCTGCCAGAAGCACTTCCAGCCTGTGTGGGGAAGCTCTGATCGCAAGCCTGGCAGTGACATGATTGCCGGATTCAAAATGGACGTTTTTTGATGTAGAAAATGTAAAAGCATGAGAAACATCACTATGATTTTAGTGACTGAATGCAAACAATTGTGACTGAGTTGTCAAGAATTAAGCGTCAAGACCACCATGTGCGCGGTAGTTGATAGGGGTGTCACCTTGGTCCTGTTTTGATCCAAGAGACATCAATGTCAGCGTTTTATCCCAAGTAAAACCCCAGGCATTTGCTCCATTTGTAAAGAGTGTTTTTTTTATTTGAACTATCACATGATGGGGAGGTGAGCATATGCCCTCTCCACACTACCTTTTCAAACAGATATCTCAGATAGCTGATAGCTATGCTTCCACAACTGAGAGAAAAAAAATGCCTTTAAACAAAATGAAAAATCTGGTATGATCGGTAGCCAATGCCATGCAAAGACATCTCCCTCTGGCACTTTGGAGCCAAGTTTGGTGGACCAGGTGCCGTTGCCAAAAAGAGCCAACCTGCCGTCTCCTATCATCCTGACACAGGCCCATGGACAGCCCGTTTTTTTCCCAGGGACACCCAGATGGAACTGGTTGCGATTTGTTTAGCAACATGCAACAACTAGCAAGTACATCCAACATCATCGAACTACAACTACATAGATTCAGATAGAAAGCTGCCAGTTTAGACTGCATGCTGCCATTGGATCAGGGTCCTGCCAGGATTGGCTCATGAAGCATGCCCTGCCTCGGAACGACCTTTTCTTGGCCAAGAGGGTCCTCATGGTGCGGATCTCAGAGGGTGGATCATCCAATCTTTGGGGTGAGCCAGGTATGACACCTGTAAGCCCCAAACTCACTGGTTCAGGCTCGCGTCATGGACACTCAGGATGTGGATGTTTCGGTGTCAAATTTTCTTTGAATGTGCAAACTCTCAAGGGTAGAGCCCAACTTCCAGGTGTTCTTGTGATTGTGACATGTACCTCAAAGGACAAAAACACCTTGCTGGATACATGCTGGGACACCTTATGATTCGCTTGTACCTTGTTCCAGTCTTAGTCAGTCTTATATTAGTTTTATATATATATATTTATTATATAGTGTTGAATTATGTTGAATTAGTTCTATATAATTATATAATATTATATAGTTTATTCTATATATATAATATAAGATTATATAAGTTATAAAAGTTATATCAGTCTTATAGATATAGCCGACTTCACCAGCTCTGTGGCTCGCAGTGAGGATCGTGCGGATTTGACCGCCGTGGATCGACAGGGCAACGGCGTCCTGGCGGTGGTGCCTTGGGCCATGCAACGCTGGTCCCAAGACGGTGGATACACCAAAAATGCTGGGTTTTACCGTGTTATATAATATATAATATATAATATAATATGATATAATATGTTATCATTATACCATGTTGATATAATAATGATATTATATGAAATTATATGTAGAACTATAATTGATGATGTGCTTCGCTCCCTTAAAATTTCTATTGTTACTTTGAAGCCTCTGCAGCCAGTGCATCTGATCCTTAGCGGCCGATGCCAAGAAATGGAGGAATGATCGGTCAGTAAACCTCGGTCACTCAGAACTTTTGAAGCCTCACCAACAAAAATATGATTCAATATTACCATATATTACCATACATTACATATGTTGCCAAGTTTATCCCAGTTCATGGTTTTTCATGAACAGTACACCCAAAATGGACTTTTTTCACGTCAACCTCCCCTCGTCTTGACATTTCGCAAGACCCATCGCAAGTGGGTGGCCTCTGAGGCGGTGGAACATCAATGCTCCCAGGAGATGGTGAAGTTGTTGTTGGAACAGGGCTGTGCGGACAGCCCGGCGCCGCCGGCGATGCAGGGCTTTTTTTTGGGGCGTTGGAAGGTAGCAATGGTAACAGCCTGGTAGCAGTAGCAATAGTAGTATTTGTATGTATTTGTATATATGCAATATGGAAAATATGGAATAGTGATCAATAGGCCATGGAATAATGTGCTATATGTTCACTTTTCACCCCCCCAAGAATCCTGGTTTGGTAACTTGATGCATTCGCGGGTGTCCACTTCCCAGACTCCTCACGAGCCGCGCAAATTGAATTCATCAGAGTCAGCACAACCAAGTCTTGATTGCCTCAGTAGAAAGAGGCATGTCGGCATGAATCAAAAGAGCGTTTCCACCGTTTCCACAAGGCAATCACTCTAAAATCAGCCCAAAAACATCTTTCAACCCCTGAAAATATCTTGTAGTCCCTGTAAAATTGCATGTAACCCATTGGTTTTGTACCCACTCTGCCCAGGTCCTAGGTCCTCCAAGGGGAACTTGGGACCTCCCCTGGCCATCGCTGCAAGATGTGGGCGATTGGAGGTGTAAAGGGGTTGAAGGAGCTTGATAAAGCCAAGTTGATTAATAGTAGTCAGCACAAGTTGGGACAATTATCAATTACTCTCACTGTTTATCTATTGATACCCTGGTTTTGGTACAGTACCCCCCAAATATTGATGTCATTTGCCACTCAATTAGTTAGTCGCATTGGAGTGGGTCAAAAACGGAGGAGATACTGAAACCATTTGAAAGTCCTTTTTTGGGAGGAAATCTTGCAACTTTGAAATACACACCACATGAACCGAAACAAAAAAAATGACCATTTCACCAGCGGGGGCCATTTGCAGGAGTAAAGTCACCACGCAACCCCTCGTTGAAGCAATCAAGAGGGAGTTCCAAGACGTGCTGCTCACCGATTCTGGGGGTCCTTTGCAGGTGGTTCGAGTCCTCCTGGACTATGGTTGCGATCCCTTGGAGATTGAAGCAGCTTGACAGCAGCCTAAGAATGGGAAAAAAACAAAAAGATACAACATATCAACATGATACAACTATATTCCAAGCTGTCATGGCGTACTGCACCTACCTGCACATCTGGGAAGAAGTTCTGAACACCTGGAGTTTACACGGTTATCTTCAGCTGAATGTCAAGGGCGTATCCTGTCTCTTTCGGGCAATTACCCTGCCTACGTTTGCTTGTTTCTGAATCCATTCGCTGTTTATGAACAGATCCTGAAAGTCTGAAAGTACCGTACATATGGGAAGAGAATGATATTGATGATAATATGGAAAATTGTTTCTATGACCAGAACAACCTGTATTTGGCGCGCCTTTTGTTTTCTCCACCCTCAAAGCGATGCTCCTCATGCCACATCTGACGTAGGTGTCGAAGCATAAGCTGCCAGAGGCTGCGAAAAGTTTGTTGGGCTACTTGGCCCGGGCCTGAGCCAAGGAGAACTCGGCTCTGGGGATGGCTGGGTGTTTTAGGGGTTCAAAATGGCTCAAAGGACCAACATGTTTGGCGATTTGGGAATCCTGGAATTAAACCCATTTGGATTTTGGAGAGTCCATAGTGTTGCGAGATGTTAGTATCATTCAAGCATATTCAACCTATTTGCCAGAGGGGTGTAGCTCATTTGCAAAATGCGTTTTCCAAGCCTATTTTGGTTGGTGACCTTCAACTCCAGATGACATGGTCCCGTGTTTAAAACATTTTAAAACCACATTTTTGTGGCTTGGTAGATCCATGACACATGGTATCTCCATGGTTGGCCCAGGATCCAGTCTTCCACCAGAGCCCTGCGATTCACTGCCCCAGGTGCCCAAAGACGACGCAGTGCTGCAGAAGGGCTTGCCCTTGCGGCGGCTGCGACGCACATTGGCGGTGACGTTGTTGCCCTTGGTACCTTGGACCAAAAAGCCGGTGCAAGTTGGGCTCTGGAAGAGCCCCCGGATCATGGTTGAGAAGGGAGTTACTATAGTTTTATTATGTTATATGAGCATTTTAAGTGCTTTTACATGATTTTACCAGATTAATGTTTTATGACTGGCAATAGTCAGGAGATCACCCACACCCGTTCGGACAGGGAGGGCCAAGAATGAGATGATAGGGCTTTGCTTGTCATGGCTCTTGGACAGACAGTTCCCGATCATTCCAGCAAGGGGGTTGAAATGCTGAGCTGGTCTTGGGAGTTTGTTCCTGCTCAAAAGTGGTGCAGTTTGGCTCTAAATCAATCAACTTGTAGAACCAGGTCTGTGCGTTCCATTGGAGTTTCTTGACACATGCTTCAAGTCACTCTAGCTTTGCCAAGCGGTTGCAGTGAGATGTTTTCGATTCCGCAGTCCTCCAAGGTAGGGGACTTGAGGGTTCTGGCACAGAAATACTTTCAATGTGGATTCTTGAGGCTTGTGACTGGAGACCATCACGTGTTGGATCCTACAGTATCTCTGCAAGCTGCGGAACTTGAGGACGGAGACCATCTGACGGCTATTATTGTCCTGGAAGCAAAGCTGGCGGCAACAGAAGCAGCTTTTGCCTTGTTTCGCCCTGGAGGTGACCGAGTTGTCACATGGGGCATGCCACACTTCGGTGGTGACAGCTCTGAAGTCCAAGATCAGCTGAAGGGTGTCCAGCAGGTTCGAGCAACTCAGCGGGCATTTGCAGCTATCCTGGTGGATGGGTCAGTCGTGACTTGGGGCAATCCAGAGTCTGGTGGTGACAGTTCTGGAGTCCAAGATCAGCTGAAGGGTGTCCAGCAGCTTCAAGCAACGAGCTATGCATTTGCTGCGATCCTAGTGGATGGGTCGGTCGTGACTTGGGGCAGTCCAGACTTTTGTGCTGACAGCTCTATAGTCAAAGATCAGCTGAGGGGTGTCCAACAGGTTCAAGCAACCGGGTCTGCATTTGCTGCGATCCTGGCTGATGGGTCAGTCGTGACTTGGGGCTCACCAAACTTTGGTGGTGACAGCTCTGCAGTCCAAGATCAGCTCAAGGGTGTCAAGCAGCTTCAAGCAACTGACCGGGCATTTGCTGCGATCCTGGCTGATGGGTCAGTCGTGACTTGGGGCACACCAAACTTTGGTGGTGACAGCTCTGCAGTCCAAGATCAGCTCAAGGGTGTCCAGCAGCTTCAAGCAACGACCTATGCATTTGCTGCGATCCTGGCTGATGGGTCAGTCGTGACTTGGGGCGAACCAAAACAAGGTGGTGACAGCTCTGGAGTCCAAGATCAGCTCAAGGGTGTCGAGCAGCTTCAAGCAACTGACCGGGCATTTGCTGCGATCCTGGCCGATGGGTCAGTCGTGACTTGGGGCTCACCACACTTTGGTGGTGACAGCTCTGCAGTCCAAGATCAGCTGAAGGGTGTCCAGCAGCTTCAAGCAACGATCTATGCATTTGCTGCGATCCTGGCTGATGGGTCAGTCGTGACTTGGGGCTCACCAAACTTTGGTGGTGACAGCTCTGCAGTCCAAGATCAGCTCAAGGGTGTCGAGCAGCTTCAAGCAACTCACCTGGCATTTGCTGCGATCCTGGCCGATGGGTCAGTCGTGACTTGGGGCAAAGCAGACCATGGTGGTGATAGCTCAGCAGTCGCTGCCCAGTTTGCATATGTGTAATATTGATGAAAATATTGTGTAATCATGTTGGCGCACAGGCGCCCTTTATCTAGTATCGTACAGTGATGGTTGATCAGCTTTCGGAAGTGTGCCTGAAAAGGCCGCGCATCCAGTACAGACATTACAGATATGGACATGTCTCTCCCTCCAATGGAAGGGTCCAACCTCCGTAAATCTATGGTGTTTGACCAAACTAATGGTAATGCCATGTAATGCCAATGCCTTCTGATGCTGAAGTCTCATACTTCAGATGGATTTATGGTGTTGGTTAAAGTTGTGATCCTGGGATTTTCTCTTGGGATCTGACATTGTGTGGAAGTGGCATTGGTCTTCCTCTGCAACTATTATTTTTACAGTAAGTGAATAGTATGAGCCTGAATATCATGGCGCAGTATAGCCCTATCATTTGGACTGTGTACCTCAGAAATCGGATTTAGGTTGGCCTCCTACTGGGATCTGGCTCACTTGAGATGGATGGGGTAGAAAGAAGGGCCTACCTGAAACCAAGAGAAGAGTTGCTTGTCACTATCACTTGCCACATGTGCAATGGGTTCATCAGAGAGTCTGCTGTAGTATCCAGCATGCTGCTTCCGTTCAATAGTCAACACTTGAGGATAGCAGCCAATTTATTTGTTAGTGGAACTGTATTTTGTCATTTCCAGTCACTGTTGAGATTTCAACCTGCTGCTAAGGCTCGAAAGATGTTACCCTCCAGCCATTCAGGACAGAGAAATCTGGATTCCCAGCTCGTACAGGCACTTGGGTTGTGGTTTTGTAGTGTCCATTTCGAGGATATCATTTTGGGGGCGTACTGAGGTGATCTTGGAATATGAATATCTGGGAATATCCGAATATCACCTATGTTTTCCCCCAGAGAAATTGCCTGGCTAAGATGTGACAGGAGGAGTTCTTGAAAGGATGGCCCCAAACATCCCAAAATCGATCAACACATGTGATGTACACGTATTTTACAAGAACACAAACAGATATGTGAACATACATTATCATATAATCATATATATCATATATCATTATACGCAGTATATATGATATCATAATTGTTGTTACTGTCACTATTACGTATATTATATTGTTATTCATAGGTTTTCTTCAGCCGGGGGTGATGCCCACCAGTAGGGATCGCCCAGAGCCAGGTGTTGGTTCTGGGCTGTGAACATGCAGCTCCACTGCCGGACGATTCACTTGAGAGCTTGGTGCAGCTTTGCCGCAGCCTGTCCAGACCTCGGCAGTCGTCACCTGCATTTCTGGCCTGGCTGTGCTTGGAATTGAACTGACCATCCAGATGAAAGTTCGAGTGATGTTCGAACATTATATATATATAGATATCAACATGATATCAACTATCAAAACCTATTTTATCACAACGTGTTGTTCACTATCTGATTCCTTGATTCATCGTGATTCTCTATGCCTGTTCCAGTCGCCCTTGTTATCTCCGCCCCAGCTTCCAGGCTGATGTCGTTCGACTCATCTTCCATGGATTTGGGTCTTCGCTTGGCAAACAGCTTGTGCGAGGTGGGCTGTGTTGAAATCGATGTTGAAATCTTGATGTTTGAGAGAAATTCCATCAATTCACGTTCCAAAACGGCGAAACTTGTCACTAGGCTAGGCTTGCACAAAAGTGATTTTTTGTCTGGCCCCGGTTACCAGAGAGTCAAAGTTGTAGAGCACCAAAAGTTGTGAAATCAGTGATGTCGCCACCTGAGGATCTGTGAATGCTTGGAAAGGTAGATTCATCAAATATCATGAAATCATTGCTCCAAATCCAAGAGAGAAACCTCGCTTGACACCAATCGAGGATGAGGATCCCCACAGCACCATGATTGCCAGACCCCAGGCTGGACCAGCAGCAGAAAAGCTGCGCAGACATGGCATCTTTAAAATGTGGAGAGCCCAGTTTGTGAACACGTTGGGCTGTTGACCTCAACCATCGTCGATGAGTGGTGAGTTGTAGATGATCCATATCCATATCTTACCTGTTGACTGGCCCACCAGCTCCAGGGAACCCAGGGAACAGACCTGTGAATGCAACTGCTGTTCTTCGTTTTGGCTTGTGCCAAAGTATGGATCTCCCAATTCATCTTGCCAACCGTGAACCCCCTCCAAAAAGCTGCATGGTTGCAACTACTAGGAAAATAGGTTTGCGGGCCGGCAGAATTTTGGACATTGCACTTCTTCGCACAAGTTTCATGGGATGGTATGAAATACAATGCGGCACCGGCGCAGTGAAATTTCAACACTCGAAAAGTGCAAAGATGTTTGGTTGGTGTGTTAGTTGATCCAAGTAATTTGATCAAACTGATTTGATCAAAGGCATGCGATGTGCCCACCGTTTCAGCCCACGGCATCCACATGGAAAGACCATTCGAGGCTTCCATGCTTGGCGGCCACACCAGAGCTGTTGCACCAGCCGTGAGAAGCTCAGACGTCACAGGAATCATGGTTGGGATTCGGAGAATCATCCCCAAATGGCCAGATTGGTGAATTATGTTAATTATTAATATTATTTATATATATATAATATAATATTTATTGAATTTATTGATCATATATAGTTTGCCCAGATTCTAGATATCTAGTCCTCTACCCAAAGAGACAGCATCATATGAGAACTTTATATACATGACCTTGTGAAACTGTATCACACCACAAGGCATCATTCACAACGCTGACTTTACCACTGCTCCTCTTGTTGGGATCTTGTTGGGACACGAGTGGAGACATCCACCAAGGCCCAGACCGCAGCATATCCGACTGGCCGCAGTAGTGCTGGCAAGTTAAAAACTTGTCGCTGTAGCTCCCCATGTAGCTCCCCAAGAACTATGCCAAATCCTTCTTGTGGGAGTCCGAGGTGGTTTCGAAGTGCATCAAATCGCTAGTATCATATTCCATTATCATCAGTGATCATATATCCCCATGTTTCTTCAAGTCCACATGTTTTTGCCAATCAAACGGACCAGGTTGGTGGTTTTTTTTCCAGCCAGGAGAATATCTTGTGGAAGTGGTCTGAGCTGATCTCTCAACCAGAGCCCCGGCCGGGACCCATCTCGGTGTGGAGCCTCAGCTGACAGCTATAGATCCAATAGAAATCGGGGGATGTGGATGTAACAATGATTATCATACCAACCATTAATGGGGATATAAATAACCAGAAATGGGGATATAAATAGGTATATCCATAGCATTAGATGGTTATATCCCATTATTTATATGCCCATTAATGGCTATCATATACCAAGCATTAATGGGGATATAAATAACTATAAATAGATATAATTAATATAATATAATGATATTACTAGCAGACATAACTAAATTATCTAGAATCTGTTGATATGTGGCTTTGTCTGAGAATGGTGGGTACCGCCAAGTTTTTGGCGATTGAACGAGTGAACATGATGTCTTCAACCATAAAATTTGGTACCCCATTTTCAGACAACCCAAATATAGTGGTACCAGGGTCAATGGGTAACCACTACCAGACAGAGATACTTTTGATCCCTGACTCTTGGTGAACCCCCTTTTTTTTTGTGGATCAAAACCACCAACATCCCCAATGTTAGCTGAATTTGGTGGGGGAAACCATGGGAAACCCAACAATAAAGCTATCATTTTGGGGGATCATTGATGGAGATTTTGAGATATGATTTATGGCATGTTTGGAATTGTTCGATGCGTTGGTTTTACCAGAAAAACGTCTGAATGATGGGGGTATCATGAGGATTTTGGTTGGGAAGTCATGGAACTATAATGATTTATATTTCAATATATATATATATATAATTATATAATATATATATATATATATATAATATATATATATGGTACCCCCCCAAGATTGTATATATGTATATATATATATATGTATGATATATATATATATATGATATATGTTACACAACTATAATTATGTTATATATTGAAATATATAATATCTAGAATCCCAGCATGTTTGGTTCCCATCTCGCCCCATCCAGGCCGGTGCCCTGGAAGCCTTGACGCCCAGCGAACTGATTCGTTTGGAGGTGCAAACGGGAAGAGTTGGGGAAGCGCCAAAAGAAGTGGAGTTAAGCAGTTGAAATATGTTGAAATTTGGGGTTGAACCTCTGACAATGGAGATCAATGGGGATGTAACTACCAAGAATAAACATGTAAGATGATTTAAGCAGCATGAATTGAGGATTCTGCCACTGAAAGCGCGGCTTCAACCACCAAAGACGGCGAATTTGAGGAAAACCTTGGGTAGTTTCAGAAATAGTCATAGTCAAGACGTGGATGACAAGTCCGAATGCGGATTGGGGCATGAAGCAGCAAGAAATAGTATGCAAGGAATGGACTTGGGGTAGGCCAGCAAGAATTAGGTGATCGAGGCAGGAAAGCATTGGGACTTAGCCATCAGAAATAAGAGATTAAAAATTTACCAGCAAACAGAGAGTCAAACAATAGTGATCGAATGGATAGGGCTAAGGAAAAGGGAAAGAGTATGTTGGGGGGATGCAGGATACATAGCAGATAACATACACAGACACGACCAACATAATCAATGCATGAATTCCATTGGAGGCATGGTTTGTCAAAGTATATACTCCAAAAGTTCTCAATGTTTTAACCTGTGAGTTAAACAGCACTCTGGTTCTCCATTCCAAACACATACCAAGTTCTGGAATCCCAAATCCGTTGATTTGTGTGGAAAGCTGTGGAGGTTGCATCGTTTTGAGATGTATGATATCAATGATACACATGGATCATTGATGTTCATTGTACATTGTCATGCTTCCTTGAAACCGCAGTGTCAAGCTATTTCGACCAGGTGCCACAGAAGCTGCTGAGAGAGAGGAACTTCAAAATGTCCAAGGAATGGGCAGCTATGCTCCTGCAGGTGGGAAGTTCCAGGTTGTCAGTGCCAAAAAATATGCCAAACACATCGCTTTGTTTGAGATTTATCGTAGGACCATGTAGGACCCACTTCTGTTGCAAAGATGTAGGGTTTTGAGATGCGTGGGACCTTCAAAACGACACCTTCAACTTTGTTTCCCACCTCTTCACCCTACATGCATCGATCATGAATGTGTACATACATGCATACATACATATGACCATTTGTCATAAATAGTTGACAGAAGTTTTGCACTAGTTGTTGATAATTAGTGTGAACCTAGTTGTTTTTTCTCTTCGTTATGAGGCGGCACGCAAACTAAATTCACCAATTCTGCAAGGCAGCGCTAGCAAACCCGCTAGGTTTGCGCTATTTTTTTTTTCACACCCATGTTCAAGGCTAGTTTTTTATGTTCCTGTCTGCTTTGTTCTTCAACATGAAGAAAAGTCAAGATGTAACACTTAGCTCTTTAAACCTAAGGATGTCTTAGTGAATTTCTGTGCTACTCAACAATTTTCCTATATTTTGAGGTTGCGGCTCAACTTTGCGAATTCGTACGTAATTTTACCCGCTAGATCCCCGCTGGCAATGCGCTTGCAAGAGTTTCAAAAAACAGCTTTGGTTGACCCGTGACCGAGTCGCCACCAGAGAACTTGTAGTTTATCCTGTTTGTTTGACAAAGCAACAGTGACAACAAAGGCAAGGACCAGCTCTGTAGATATTCCAGTTCCACCACTAACAACTAGCAGCGGCACCCACTTCACATAGACACACGTTAGCATTTACTGAAGGTTTTAGCTACGGTTTCAAACATGAAAGATAAAATGCAGGGTTTCAGACTATTTAGGTCAGTCATGGTTTTAAAGGCACAATAAGAAGCGGCACGCAAGGAGTTACGATTTATCAACAAAACCAGGAAAAGACATTTTGGCGGCAAACTGTCATATACTGTACTTGTATATTACTGTATATACTTGTGACATCTTGTGACTGCTTTAGATGTGACTTGTATTCAGGGAACTTCCCATCTTCCAGACTGTCTCAGCGCAGGTTGTTGAGGAGGAGGAGAAGTTCTCAGTACACGTGTATCGCGACCTGCCTAGGGAAGTTGATGGGTCATTGTCCTGTTCGGGTCATGTTTTGTTTTCAATAATTGGGGATGAGTTAAAACCTATGAGAACATAGATTATTTGGTGGGGATGAACATCCACCAGCTATTTTGATGTTCACCAGGTTACCAAGGTCTTGACCCACAGCCAATTGGGGGATATGCTCGAAAGTTTCGTGCCAGCAAGAAGCTGCAATGTGAAAATATGTGTAAACCCATTGTTAACAGGCAAATTATCGATAGATACCAGAGAGAGTCCATTGCCATCCTCGTCTATTGGAGGGTATCATGAAATTTCTTTCTCTGATTTTTTTCACCAGACTTCAACGTATTGAAGGTATTCTTCGGTGCATTTGTGGTGTGTAGGTCGGATGAGAATTTTCTAGCCACATGATCCGGTGTCCTTCATGATATTTGGGACCATTCTCCCACCCCAGATCTCAGCGGAATCAGATGCAGCCTGGCTGGAAGCGTGTCCAGGTGAGCGCCAGGACGTGAGTCTGCGAGTGCTCACGGAACCCTTCTGCCTCTTCTGCGCTTCACCAGAATCAGCTGCCTGGATGGTCTGGATGGGTGATTCGCGATGTTGGAATGGGTCAATGAGGGTCAATCTATACATATATTCTATACCATAAATATCCATAAATTAGACCATCATTTTGGGGAAAACCATCCATATTGAAATCCCTCGTTTTCCCAGCTATTTTCTGGTGTTTTCACAACAGGCCAGGGCCAGGGTGAACTGACCCAAACCAATGGGATCCTGGGGCTGGATAAATGATCCAATCGGCCACGATCATTTATCAGACATCAGCATCATCAGCACGATGATCATTTGCGAAATTGGTATTGACATATATTGACTGCTGATTGGGCCATAAATGATATAAATGGTGATCCTTTGTTGATACCACTAGATCCCCTGTAACTTGCTGTGTCGCCAAGCGGCCAATTTTCATGCGCTATCATGCGCTCATCCTGAGGCATCCACCGAGGGTCCAAAGGATTTGGTGCATGGAGGAAATTATGTGGCCCGTGTCTCGGGAGTTAGACACGTGCTGATGATTTCTTCGTTAGTTGAAACATGTTGAAACCAAATTTCCAAGAGTGGAGATGGCGTTCTGAAGGCATTTAAGACCCAAAGATCCAAGTCTGCTTAGCGTTTCCGGGACCCAAAAACGCTTTGGTCTTGCAAGAGAACGTCCACATCTGACTCATTCAGTTGAATCAAACACCATCCATCTCAACATACTTACACTATTTTCTTCCCACCACAAACACCAAAAAACGAATCAGCTGAACCCATCATACATCCCCTTATCAATTGGTTTGTTGCGATGTGTGTGTGTGTATCATCCATTCGTTTTCAATCCATTGATTTGTGGTATGAAAAAGTCATAAAACATCTGGTATTATATATCTCCAAAAGAGCCACGGTCAGGTTCAAGCTGAGCCCTTGGTGAAGATGGGCAACTTGACCCGTCTGCTGCTTGTGGCTGGTGGTTTTCTGGCAAGCGAGGAGACCACGGATGACTTGGGATGGGGATCTTGGAGATCTAGTGGGAAGATGTTGACGAGATATTGGTGGGTAACCCTTGGCTTTGTGGCTTAGCTTAATTTGCCATGGGGGGGTGAAACCTGCAATGCGAGAGGATTGAAGACTCCAACTGTCGACCTTGGTGGGGGTACACATCACTGGACTCATTTTGACACATTTGACTGCGGCCTGTAGCAGCTACTTTATTGGATAAAGAATTGACTTGATTTTTGGATAGTACAGTAAGGTGCCTATAGTTGGTCAGATGCCGTATGGTTCCATAGTTGAATAGTTTGGTTCGATGGGACATGTCCATATATTTCACATTTGATACCTGTTTGGCTTTTTTAATGGGAATACCTTTGTTTTTTGCTCTTTGTTTTGTTTTCAGTCTTCTTGGCTTTTGTGGTTTTTGTGGCTCTTGTCTTCTGGGCTCCTGGGCCATTTGTTCTTTTCGGATTCTGCTTTAGGCTTCTGTGTTTTTGTTGGCTTTTGTGGTTTCTTGGCGGTATACTGCAGCGATTGTGCAGACAACAAGTAAAAAAAGGAACCTCTGAGCTACCGTGAAAAGATGTGAAAAGAGAGATCCTAGCTGATTAATTATACAGCTATAAAAGCTGCGAACATGCTGCGAACGAGAGATTGAAGGTCCAAAAGGATCCAAACAACGTCCAAATTTGGGACTTTAGCTCCAGAATGTTGCAAATACTGTGCACGTGAGGGATTTCAAAATGACATAAATTGCATAGTCTAGCTCCAAAATGTAGAAAACAAGAATGACAACTGCTCTAGACTGAAACACAAAAGAAGAAAATCATCCAAACCATTTGCACCCGGTTCATAGCTAGATAGATGCAGACATTTCAGTCCTGGTCCATGTTGATGGTTTCTGTCAGGAGTACCTGAGGCCCGGAACCAAGTGCAGGGAGCAGAACAGATGCGCCTCAGGTGCAAAGGTCTATATGGGGGTATATCCCCAGTTTATGGCCATTTGAATAGGAAAGTGGTGTGTTTAACCATCATTTTTGTCTGGGCACCATACGTTTAGAATCTTTTAGACAAACCCATAAATACTTGATTTTTGGTGGATAATCCACTTTGTAGTCACGAGAGTCACGATCGAATCACCAAAAGTCCGGATCTTCAGACCCACAATGCTGAGTGCATCTTCGTGCCATGGCGTGACCGTAAGCCGCATAAGAACCCATTGTGCAACCAGTATGCAACATGTCATGCCACAGGTCGGTTTAGAATTTCACACAGACAGAAAAGTTACAAGATGTTACAAGGAGCTCAGCGGCCTCTGCGTTTAGGAATTCATCAACATAGTCAACTGTTCATTCGGGTATCAACTTCATGTCCTGAAAGACCAAGTAGTGATTGGAATCCCCATGTACACAGACTTGGTTGCAATGAATTTTAGAGGAAAACCATGGAAAGGCCTATAATTTGGGACTAAAAACCATTGGTTCCTGTAAACTTTGAAATCAATCCAGTGAAATATCTCTGTCCCCAATCTCCATGCTGTCCCTGAGATCACAGGTTCTGCTTGCGCCTTATTGGCCACAAGCTCTTCCAGGTGACTTCCACCAACCGATTGAACTCGAAAAATATGGTCCCAAAATGTCCCAACGATGATTTGATTTATCGGAGATTTCATTTTAGATGTTGAATCAATGTTTAATGTCTCTTGTTTTGTTTGGTGACAACCATACATGCCAGAAAGCTGATTTAGGGTTCCATGAGTTTTGGAGGTCCTTTTTGTCAATTCAGCTGGAGGTGAGTTTTATCCTATCCCAGCCCAGTCCGGAAAATGTGGCGAAACATGGCTTGGACTTGTTGCTTTCAGCTCGACCCAAGGGCTGTGTGTGTGGCCAATATATATAGACAGGCAAAGACGGCACAATAATGTAATGACGTCACAATGTTGGATAAACTCACTACTTGCCTTCAAATGAAATGACATGTCGCAGTGATGTTCACTTTTGGTTATGGCAATCGAGATTGACTGAAGGGATCGCCCGTTTGACTGGGGTTCGGGCTCGTGCACTGGCGCACTCCCAAGTCCCATGAATTGTCAAGGGGCCATTTGATAAATACAATGTGTTGAATTTGTTTGGTGTATTTAGTTTGCTTGTGTTGTCAATGATATCAATGATATAAGTTTCAAATAGTTTCATCACGTCTCACAATTATATAGATGGTACATCATGATCCTAACCTTTGTCTTATGCATCCATATGATTACACAGAACCAGTGTCCTTAGGGTCCTTGATTTGTGCAACGTGCAAGGATCATCTTTTGAAAGTGCTGAAGCTGACAAGTCACGGTGCCAGTAAAATCACATTCAGTGCCACAGGGCTTACCGCACCGGGGTGCCCGTCAGCTCCTATCGTTGGGCCGCAGGCAGATACTGAGTATTTCGTGGAAGGTGTTGTGGTTTGAAGCTCAAGCTGCTGTTTGGTCATGTTTGGTCAGGATAATGCTGGCCCAGGCGCACTTCACATTATTTCACATCCAAGAATGCCCATGGTATCCCCAGGTCCTGCCGCAGATTGGCATCCCAGTGCACCTCCTCTCAGCCTCCAAGGGCACCAGTGCGCACCCCAACGGCCAAAGAACTAGGGGATCCTGGAGATTTCATGGTCTTCAGGGATAAAACGTGATAAAAACGTGATAAAAAACATCACTTGAAATATCATGATGCTGGTGAGTTTTTGCAGATTGAACATGATTGAAATAGATTGAAATATTTTGGTTGGGATTTAAAAGAAAGAGGTGTGTTGTTGAAGAAGTGAAAATTGAGAGACATTGGCATCCATTTGAGGCGTGTTTCGGGAATCCATTGAATCCATTGTGGGAAACATTGAATCCATCCGTGTTCCGAGATCTTGGAAGCTGAGACTTTCATATGACTTATATATATATATACTTATATATATTTTTTCTTATATTATCGTTCATTCTTCCAGGATGTCAGGCAATTTTGCTGCCTGTATGAGGGCGTTTGATTTGGAAGAGAGATGTTCGTCTTTGTCACTCACGGATCCATTTTTAGGGAAACTGTTTGTTTAGCAAACTGCTATACTCGGAATCGCGTGATCCAATATGTCCTCAGCGGAAGGTTTGCTCACTCCTCCCTGACCTCAGGCGACAATTCTCCCGAACCTCATGTTCTGGCACTGGGCGATTGGCATTTTGAGGTGCCACGTGGTGACCATGGCACCATGGCACCATGGCACCATGGCACCATGGCACCATGGCACTATGGCACTGGGGTGGTTGGAAAGTGTCCAGCTCTCGTCGACCTCATCCATCTTCAGCAGGTTTGAGAATGCCATCATTGTACCAGGTCACTTGACGTTAGGCAACTGATCAGTGAAGTCAAATTCGCCATTTAAGTGGGTGTGGGGAATGACTCAGGTTGCAAAGCAAATGTTCGGAGATATACAGATATAATTACAACCATTTGAACAGCACTGATTTTGTTTGAGCCGACAATTGAGTAACATCCAATCCAACTAAAACTTACCGTGATTCTTTAAAGGTGTACAGTATGTAAGATTCGCCACAGCTGGTTGACTACGATCCTGCCAGGCCAGTCATAGTGACACTTCCATCGAGCGAAACGAGGACCATTGGGTGGAAAACAGAAAGCTTGTTAGGACGCCAGAAGGCTTCCACCAATCGTAACACGCCATGCATACTGGGGTGTTAGTTACTCTAAGATCAATTTAGTATATTGTGATAACTTAGATAAATTTTGCTTAGATTTGCTTAGATATACTTCGAATAGTCTTAGAATTACCTTGTGGTGAGCAACTATGAGCGACTCCAGCTGTTGTGACATGACAGAAAGTAAAATCTACCAATACACAGTTAGAAAACTATCGAAAACTTCTGTAATCATGGAACATTGAGAGATGGGCTATGTACATGTTTCAGGATCTCCATTCTTTTTGGCCATATGGCCAACTGCCGGGCTGAGGTCATTGAATGTCTTTAAGCCAAGTTCAATGATTCTGCATCCCAGCATCTCTGACACTAGTTCTTGGGATACATGGGTATGTCGGCATGTCCCCAGAAAATTGGAGACCCAAAGAGATTCAAAGAGGAGCCATTTGGCATAGCAATCACCTACACAGGACGTGGCCCAGAGCTTGGTGAATGACTACAAGGTGACCCAACTGAAGGAGGCTCGCTGGCAGCTGTTTGGAACCAAAATGACCATAAAGATTTTCGGAGATCATGAAACACTATCAAAGTCTTCAAGAATGTCCAAGATATCCAAGTTTGGATATTTTGAGGGATTAAGGATTTGATGCCGGCATTTGGCTGGTGCCAGTGTCTGGTGAGATCAAATTCTTTGGTACTGTGCTCATAATGTGGCAGTGGGACCTGCCATATTTCAATCGGAAAATTCAGGTGGAGGTGTCCTGCTCATCTTTCAATGAAAAAACAGTTGCATTGTGATTATTCGTGTTGTTGTTCTTCTTCTATCCTCAAGACAATTGATTTGTTGTTGATATCCCTGCGACAGTCAATTGCATGCTGCCTAGGTATAGTATAGTTCTGGGTCGCATAGTAAGGCACTCAACACCATAGATTCACTCAACATCTTGAGCCATCTAGCTGTTTTTTTACGCTGACACTTCATGACTTGACACATCCCCTGCTTGGATGTGCATTCCAAATATATTTATATAGCAACTTCATGACCATGGACCATTCAACTCACCCAGTTATGGAAGTGATATCCACGGTATCCATTTTGGGGAAGAGACCGAATGTATAGACAATAAGTCACATTACTTGAAATAAAGGGTTGACATGGTTTGTCCTCTTGCCTCCAGTGTGTTGAAAGTCGCTCAGGCTTTCGGATTGGGTTGTCATATCACCAGGTGTTCGGGCTTCTCATCCTAGTAATGATTCTTAACTTATATAAATTGCTATAAATTGCTATATCAATGTCCCCTTGATGTTCCAGTCCCATTTCTTTTTCGAGCTCGTTGATCCCGGGACTTGTCCAAAAGGTGGAAGGGCCCAAGCCCTTGCCCTTGGATCCGGACGAGGAGGACTAGCAGATTTTGCTTAAATCCCAATGATTGTTGCATTTGCATCGCATCCCATTCTTAGTAGTATCATGTAGTATCTAATGTTCATACCCGTTGTAATTGTATATTATATATACTTGTACCTGTTTCTTCCCCCTGACATCTATTTCTTGACATTGTCTCCATTTTGAGACTGGATTCTCCGGCCCCAATTCTTGGACCCATGGTGGCTCAGGAGCTTTACATGCAACTGCTGCATGTGGAAGCCAAGGCTGGGATGATCCCTGGATGACATCCCCATTCGAAAGGGCACGGGATCGCAAATGAATAGATCCACTACTCAAACAGTCTTTTCCGGATGGATTAAAAAAGGGGAAGTGTATGAAAGTGTATGAACGTGTTGTAAATGAAAGGAGGGTAGTACAAATGGACAAATAGCATAGGTCAGTTCACTTGAGTGATGCAACAGTTGTGATGCGTGGGATGAGACTCATTTGGGTACCCGCGCCAGGCAGATGTGCGGAAAAGCCTGGTCAAGTTGTGCGAACAGTGCTGTGTCGCAGTGGTTTCCACGGAGGAGTCACCGACCATTGGTGAACGGCAGAGGGATCATATCCCAATCATCCCCCGTCATGATCTTGTCTCTCGAGACAACTCTATAGGGAGCCTTTCTTGCAGATTGTACACATTGTTTTTGAGGAATGCAGGCTGCGTGCCTAAGCCGTTCCCTGTACAGCAACTTGAGGATCCAGAATCCTGTGTTTCATCAATTGATGAGACCCCAGTCATTTCAGCTCAAAACGGTGACCTATAGATAAAGAATAAGAGGCAGTATTCTGACCATCAGATTCAAACCATTTCAAACCCTGCCGACAGCTTTGCTCACAATTGGTCACGCATACTGATTCTACCCAGTTGGGTTGACATGGCTTGAGGCAGGAACATGATACACTGCTGATACAGTCTATCCAGTCAGGACAACGAAATCGTGGATGCCATCGTCGGACGCTCGGGGATTTCGCAATGGGGAAATCACAGATGTTCTGAGCAAAATGAGAGGTTTTGACAAGAAATGGGTTTCAAACAACAAACACCGGGAGGTTTCAAGTTGGAGGAGCAGTTGATAGGTTTGCAGTCAAAAGTGAAGATCACCCAAATCCACAGACTTTTGGCACTTTAAGGTAGTAATATATCATAATATATCCAAGACCATCTAAGACCCAGTTGTTGTGCAATCAGCCATCTTTACACCGGCGTTGTGTGATGTTGACTTTTGATGATATGCTTAGAATGGTGAACCATGAAGTCGCCATCCTTCTGGAGAGCAATATTCAAATCATGCAGGAGTAAATACTGGCGGGTTAAGTGACCTCAAGTTATGCACTCAACTTCTCAGTTGATGGCTTTAAATGCCAAATCGACAGGGACTGTTGGGGTATGTTATGTTTTTAAAACATAGAATCAGTGAAACATAGAAGTGGATTACAACAATGGCTTTGACATGTAATCTTGCAAAATTACCTGCAACGGACCCCTGACAGGCACAGTCGGTAGATGGCCTCCTGATTCAAGAGGCTGCGATACCGCTGCCGGACACTTACGTCTGAGAAGGGTAGGCAGCAGCCGGTATCATAGGTGGAGTCTGAACCCGGGAAGAGTCACGAATCTTGGTTGTCTCAAGACCGATTCATTCGGAAAAGAACGTGCATGGTAGGCCCTTCTTTGTGACTCAGGGTGTGGCCATTCAAATAGCAAAAGTTGGAATATCGGTACGAATCGGTACTCCCATGAGTTTGCCCCCTTAAATCTAGGTGATTTTAGATTAGTTAGAACATCTTTTCAACGAAATTCCTACATTGGCATGTTCCCTCCAGGTTTTCCTCACAGCAACCGGAAACCGGCTGAGGTTGAAACACTTCGGATGGCAGCAACGAGATATGGAGGAACAAGAGGACGCATCGTTTACCTTGCTTGGCACCTAGTGGGAGAAGTGCACATGGTTGGAATTTTAAAATTTTCACAGTTGATTGTTCAATCATGGACACCATCAACTGTCAAAAAACCAACCAGGTGGGATCCTCCTGACGTGGCACCGGTCACTCGGAAGCTGAGACAGAGACAGCACCCAGGAGCTCCATGGACCTCCATGAAGTGATCATTTTTAATACTGACTACGCTTCGGATAGAAGTTGGGTGAAGTTAATCTTGGTATAATGAAGTTGATATAATGATACAAGATGGTATAAGTATAAGTTATAAGTATAATGAGTGGATTCCCTTCAGGCACGGCATTGAGAACCACCCCTCTGTTGGTTGTCTTGTTTACCGAAAGTCCAATGCGGACCTGAGATGACCTGAGGTGCTCAACAGTTTCTTCCACTTGACCATCCAGCCGCCCCCGTCCGAGTCGCCAAGCATGACTTGGTCACCAGAAAATTGCAGTCGGGCAGCCACCAAATCTGCAGAGGCGGCCGTTTTTGAGGTGAGGTAATGAGGTAGTCAAGGATTATATGATATTATATGATCATGATGTATCATGATGTATCATGATGTATCATGATGTGATATGTTTATTTGATTTCTGGTCCTTTCAGTCAAAACAGGGACTTCGCTCACAGAAATACGTCTCGGTGAGGCCAGTGGCGTGTAAACTTAGGACGGTACTGTGGTGCCAAAAAAAAACGCAATTGGGTATCCTGATGGCATCTTACACCAAAATTGGGCCTGTCAATTGGATGTTCCGCACTAATCAACTATTTTTGTTAAAAATAATTTCATGTTAATATATTCATAACATTCATAACTTATTGTCCAAAGGTGGTGTGATTTCACAGGTTTTGCATCGCCGGTCGCCAGTAAATTTGGTTGAAAAACAGCATATCCATGGCTATCCAGTCTTGCATCTCCCCTCAAAGAAAATTGTTTCTTGGTAAACTCCCCTGATGTTTATGGTTTGTTGGTTGAATCCAGTTGAATCATGTTGAAACCACATGTTTGATCCGGAAAACACACCCAAACAATAAACATATATAAACATTGATATTCTCAATGTTTATATATGGTTGAAAACAGCTATGAAACCAATCTTTGCTCAGGTCCAATCCACCTGGGCCCAGCGATCCAGTTTGGTCTGCCTCAGACTCAGGGAAGACCAATGGGGGATCTACCCTTAGGAATTGGCAAACCATCGGGAAATTGCGGAAACTACATCCAAAGGCCATAATTTGTGCGACATTGATGGATGAATTTCCATAATTTGCCTAAAAACTGTTAGAGTCTCCCTCCAAACATATCCCAATCATTCCCAATTTGACTAGTCCTTGTCCTGCAGGGACAAGAAAAGTCTCAATAGAAAAATGTTTTGTTCCCTGGCATAGTTGATGGTCAAGCTCCATACATCATCCCCCTCCCAGGTGATTATTTGGTTTGATGCTGAGTTGCCCTTCGAATTGGCCGGTTGGGCCCAGTGGGGATGAAAGCTCATGCTATCCATACCGCTTGGGGAGCCCTCAAGTGCCGCGCCAGCATGCTACAACAGCTCATGGCATCAAATAGGTTCATTTCATTGGCGCCGGACGACCCTGACGACTCAGATACAGACATTGAACCAACGGGACCAACCATCACAGAGAAAACAGGCGAGGATGCGTCAGTTGACTTTGACCAATCGGTTTACTTTGACGCCCTAGAGACAGATGAGGACACTCCCTACTTCCAACAAGAAGCTGAGCCTCCTCCAAGAGAGGAGTGGGAAATTGCCGCGCCTATCGATTTCTCCGATGTCCAGGGGGTCTTGCAACTAAGCCGCCAACTTGATGAACTTTTCCTCTCGGAAAAAGAAATTGAAACTCCACTCGGCATGGACGATATCAAGCAAAGGTGGAAGTGGGCCGATGTCGGCTCTCGTCGAATGTCCCAGTCACCGCTAATATACCCAGCCATCATGGTGGACGAAGGGAATGGAATCCGACGCCCCGCAGCTAGCCAGGTCCATCATAGGACACTCTTCCAGTGGATAGTAGATAACCTCTCATGGGTGCCGCAGTATGCCACTGTCTATATTTTTGTGGACAACCGTAAACTGTCAGGCACTGCTCCCCCTGCCTACTGGCTACTCTGACCATAGCTTCCAGCTGTGAGGCAATCAGGACTTGCTCTTTTGTTGAGATTTTAACAGCGAGAATCCTGTCACTACAAGAGCGGTATTGGCCTCTTCCGAAGGGTTCTTCCGAACTACTGGTTTTTGTGGATCCAATGCGAGCCCGAAATTCAAGATGAAGTTATATAATGAAACATGGTCCGCAGTTTGAGTATACAATGTTCCTGATAGATCTGATAGACGTAGCCATTGTATGTTTGATTCCATATTGCATGTAGTTCAAGGGGGTATCTTTAAATGTTTCGTTTCAATCCCCGGTGAATGTTGGTGCTATTGACATATTTCCCCATAGTTCATCCTTGAAGTTTGAGAGCCCTGGGGGCCCCCTGCCCGCTTCCCACAGGTCTGGCAATCCGTGGAGCTGGGATCTTGGGAACAGAGCGCTAGGATCCACAATTCTTCCTGCTTTCAAAGATGGCACCAGTAGGTTGCTAAACCTCGATCCTGTCTAGATGTTTATAGATGTTTAACACCCACGTTGTTCCAAATGTTGTTTTTTCGCATGATCCTGTGAGGTACTCTCAGAATTGTCCAAACATCCCAAATCTGGAGTCCCCTTGGACCCTCAGTTCCGAACCCATACCCAGCTTCCGAATCTATGCAGCAAGGCTGGAGGTGAAGAACGCCTTCACCAGCGTCTCCAACAAATGGACCGAGTACTCTCTGGCCTGCTTGCGGCATCTCAACGTGCAGTGGATGTGTTGCTGTTGATGACACAACTAAAATCAGGGCGCAGCCAACTGTACTGGGTGGAGATGTGTTGGTGGCGTTGAGATGTTGATAGGTTTTTCTGTATGTTTCATCCCCCAGATGATGTATAGTTTTTCCATGTTTTGCCGAACCCTGCGGAAGCCAGGATCGGCTGGCCCAATGGAGAGCAAGAAATGTTGGAAGCGGTTCACAAGGCACGCGGGCGGCCCCTGGAGATGGACCAGGTTTTGTTTGGGGCAATACCAAGGAGATGCCATGGGTACCATGGATGAAGCGATGAACCCAAGTTCGAGAAACCATCAGCTGACGGGAGGCAATTCAGCACCAGGTTCAGCCACATTCATTCAGGCTGTTGCAGCAAATGGTGAAGCAGCAGTGGCCCGAGGGCTCACACATAGCATGGATCTCAAATGCGAGAGACGTGCATTCATGCTGACTTCTAAACTTACAGACTTGCCGAACACTGCTTTATCAACATGGCTTGTGTCCAGTGTTTGTTTACTCGTTTCATATGTCTCATCTTCTTTGGTTGGTTGTTTGGCCATCCACACATAGATCCATAGAGTCTATAGATGTCTATATAGTGAATTATGGTGATCTGTAATAGTATATGGTGATCTACCGTGATCTATCGTGATCTAATAGTGTTGTTGCGCCCCCAGGCTCCGCCACACGGATCGCTGATCGACTGATGTCAGCTGTGGCCTGCAGGGTGCGGCAGATGCTGGGGCAATGGGAGAATGTTTCCAGGATATCACCGGGTGGATCAACGGGAAAATCTATGGGAAACCGTGGTTGTTACATGTTTATCATCCATGTTCTGACTGAAACCTTGGGGCTTCCTGTACCCCTTTGAAGCAATTCTGAGAGGTAACTGCCTGGAAAGTTTACTGAAAACCTCTTAGTTGCACAGAAAAGACAGGATTTGTTTGTAGATGTTCCCTTCAACCAACACGGTGTTTCCAGGATAATCAGGATAAAGATAGTGATGCGGAATGGTAAGAAGTGACAAACTATCCAAAGAGTACAAAAAGAAAATGATTCCCGCTTGTTTGCTATGTATTCAATTATTCAGTTGTGAAAGGATTGAACAAGAGGTTCTTGTAGTAGCTTTGGTGTTTTAACGTCATATATCCGAAACCGGATACTAGCGTGAATTCATCTGTGTGTATAGAGTATTCAGAGACATGCTTGGCACGTTTATGCGGAGTCCGTCAAGGGCGCAAAAATGTAGAATTGCCAGCTGCTGAATAGTGGATTCTACTGGGGCAAAGGAGCAGCAATGATAAACACGCTAGCTACTTCTGTAACTCCCTTTGAAATCTGTATCCATATCCCAATGAAAGCCATTTGGCATATCCCAATGCCATCTTCGTTGGTGTGGACACATCATCTTGAACCACTGCTATCGAGAAACCCTCATAGATCCTGAATTGGCTGAAAGGTGGTGGCTGAACCAGAGTTGGCCAGTCAAGTGCAAGGACCGTTACACGACTGTTTGGTCATGATGATTGACTTGTTCCTGTAGATATGTAGATCTTGTTTCTTAATATGTCGGCCATGAACCGGGACCTTTATTGCTACCAAACATTATCATACATTATCCATCATTATCCAACTTTGACCAACTTGGGGAGCGGCTTAGTGGATTGAACCACCACTAGGGATGGCAAGTAGTAAGCGAAAGCTGAGCAGCAGTTGACTGCCTGAATACTGTAGGAAGTACAGTACAGATCTACTTGGAATATACACAATGTGTTCACTTGCACATTATGATGTGTAATGATGTATAATATATATATATACATGGGTACGATGTGTTTGAAATATGACCCAAGCGATCCAAAAATCCAAAAATCTAGACCTCCAAAATCTTGCAGTGCATCACAATGGATCATTGATATAGATCCATGGATACCTGTACATTTAACATACAACATGCATCTGACATCATATGCCACCTGAACGGAATATCCTGTAGCAGTTGGAGGGAGTATCTAAATGGAATAACATGCTTTGCCAGAAATTTGGTTCCATAAGTTTGTTTGTAAAGAACCCTGTGACTGTGAGCTTTGGATTGCAGGAGGAAGCGCTCAGGGAAGTAAGGCCGCGAACTTCGGGCTGTGGGTACCTGAAAGACACTTGAGATACTACCAGAAAGTTGGTGACCTGCTGGCTGGAATCCGCGTATTTGATAGGAAGACATCCACATTTGGATACATTTGGTGCAATTAGCATCTAGGTGAGCCATGGAGTATCATACAGATTGTTTTCAACCCGCGCCGGCCAGTTTGAGCCTGAATGCCGGACCGGCAGAGAAGACAGAACAACTGTCAACAAGTAACATCAGTCAACATCATTTATATAATATCACTTAATATCATTTAATATCAGTTAATATCAGTTAGCCAGAAATCCCAATCGGTCTCCTATGGTCTCCTGCAATCTCCAACCATCGGATGATGTGGGCGGATCCACCTGGCAGGGTGTGAAAACCGGCCTTCGAGATTTGGTGGAGATCAGGATGGATGAGGCCCAGGGGGAGGGTCGGAGTTGGGTCCAGTGGTGAGGTCCTTCAGAAACTGGAGATGTGTGGATAGCTTTGATAGCTTGGACGCTTTTGGACAGTTATATCATGTTATATCAATCGATACAAATCGATTCCCTTTTCACCAACTTCAATGCCTCTACAATGGGATGCTGGTTGGGATAGAGAAAACGTGCATGGCACAGAGAGGTTGAACCAGTCATTGCACAGAAATCAAAAGATCTCCAACAATAGCCGCCCCATCGCATGCTTGGCATCTTATGCCATATGGTGGCAGTCCAGTGTGTGGACATGGGCCACCCAAGAATAGCATAAAATAGTTACCTTACAAAGAGAATGATAAATCTGATCAGAAAACCAATGGATCTTGCAGTTTTTTCATGTTTTTTTTCCCAGATTTTCCCAAGATTTTCTCTGATCCCTGCGACGGCAGGCCTGGATCCCTGCAGTCTTCGTCCAAGAGCCACCGGCGCCACCTCTGTACGTCTGCCTTTCCACCGGCGCCTTGGTGCCAAGCTCAGCCGGAACGCGGCGGTGTTTTTTGTTTGTTTCTGGCAGAGAACGTCTCAGAAGAGGCTGGGGTAGATGTACGCAGATAGATATATGATATATATATATATATTATAGATATTATGTATATATATATATGTATGATATATATATTATAAATACTTGTAGATCATTGTAGATGTAAGTTTTTGTGAAACAAGCATGTGGGAAAATTGGGGAGTTTGATGATTTGGTGAAACTTTGATGCACCTCACCATGGAGTTGGATCGCCCAAAGGCTACGGGCAAGCACAGGACCATGGTTGGCTTTGAAGGGCCTGGGCCTAAGTTTCACTGCTGATATTTGCTGAATTTTGCTGATATCATATGTCAGTCACATTGAGGGTTGTATGCTGCAGAAAAATGAGCAATATACACCCATGATTTGGTACACGGGTCGTTCCTGTCAGTCAGATCTTCCCTGATTTAGGCCTCGGCTCTATCCGGTGCCTCCAGTGGAAGCGCAAGTGCAGACACGTGCAGTGCGGTGCCTGGTGGTTGGATGAGGGTCTGCTGGAATGCTTAGTACTGAACACATTGTAATATGGCTTTGCCCAAAAACTGGTTTTACCATGTTTTACCCACAAATGGCATCACATAGCAATTTTGATTATAATTAATGATGGAGACCATTTGTTTAGATTTGTGCCTATGAAGAGACAAACCCATACAAACCCGTATTTGTGCATGCTATACTTCCATTTGTAGGAACAGTTGCGGGGGATACGATTGTGATGCCCGAAGACTTTGGGCCATCGGAATTTCCAGACACGCCTCTTTCAACGCGTTGTTTTCGTACAGGAGTGCCTGAACTGCAGACAAACTAAAGCATTCCAAAATCCAATAACTCAAATTTGTCTGAGCCAACAAGCAACCATCAGTAACTGTAACCAACTCCAATGACACGGCGATGATCCAGTTGACCAATTTCCTATCCAAGAATTCTGAAAGGGACCTGTCGCCCGGCCAAGGACCTGCAATCCTTGGAGCCTGGACCCTGAGCCGCCTTGTAGGAAAATTGGTGAAATCCTAAGGTTTTCGCAACCCAAAAAAAATGCCACCTAGAATGAACAAAGTTGTCTTTCGAAGCCACTTGTTGGGTTTACGGTTTATATGATGTGATATGATTTTATTATTATTTTATATATGTTGGGTTTGGGACAATATACAAGGATGTTACCCATGTTGGAGGGTCAAATTGTGGCCTTTGTGGTTTCAAACATCCAATTCACTCCACAAGCACCGTGCACCCGACCTGCAGGCGAGGTGCCGAGTCTTCCCGCATCACCCGGAGATTCAGTATGGGGGCCTTGGTCAGAAATCATGGGGGAAACAGAGGGCCCCAGCCCGAAACCTGCAGCGATGCGCAGTTTGCAGCGCAGCTTGGGTTTCGTTCCATGTGATATTTTTAAGGCAAACAGTTCGGGCCCCCAACATGGTGAAAAACGAAAACGTCTTGGAACAAGACAACCTGACTGAATCCAAGTTGATTGATCCTTCGGATGCCCTAAAACTTACCACCCAGGCAGGACTCGACCCAGCCCCTTGCTGAGATGTGGATGCGGATTGCCCAGCTCCACCGAATGAGAGCAGCCTGACGACCCCTCCTGGGGTACCACTTCCTAAGCCGACACTGGTGCGCCGCTGATGGGGCGGCAGGAGCGGGGAACAACGCATAGTGTAGGTGGTTAAATTGTCATGTTGCTGTTGATGATGGAGATTAAGACTAAGAAATTGGTGTGGTGGGACATGTTCATAGGGCTTTGCTGATATTGTTCCTTTGTATTTTACTCGTACCATCCTTTAGCTTTGTTAGCGTTTTCCTGTCACTGACATGGACACTGGAACTAATTTGTCGCAAATGGTGTTTGGGTCTCAAACATCCTGATCTGCTTAGATAACCTGGGAACTTGAAGTATCTTTGGCAACTGATGTTTTGCTTTGATGTTGTCGATGTTTTTAATATCCGGTTCATCAACTGTATGAATCAATAGATCTTGGAAATCCCTTTCTAGTCCAATGAACAGGGTCCGAACCACACAGCATTTTTGCAGGGATTCCTGGAAAACTAGATGGCCCGATGTGGAACTATTTGGGCACCCAAGCTTCAAAAAGACTGCTCAGAAATCTGGTGCAGCTACCTTGTGAATTTCTCTGAATTTCAGAGAAGGAATCTACTGAGTATCAATTCAATGTAATTATGGCATATGTTGGTGCCAGCTGGACCCGAGGATTCCTGTTGTTAAACATGTTGACTGTTTGTTGCTTTTTGGGCCTTTGGTGAGATGGCAAAAGGCTTGAGATGCTCATGTTTTTGGCGCGGCCCCATAAGGCATACAGCCTGGGTGGTAGCAGTTCAAGCACATCGCCAAGCGTCAGCCGCAAACCCAGTGGCCAGGAAAGACTCAAGGAACTTACAGGAAAAGCTGATCATTCTGACTGCGCCATATGGATTTTAGATCTAAAATAATGTGGCCATGTTCAAGCGTAAAATTACTGTTTGAAACCCAACTTTCAACCAAACGTTCGGAAGTTGGGAGTCTAAGTTTGGTGTCAGAAGACTCCACCAGATTAGGGGTGTTACTCTTGACCCATGGGCAGTGCCAGGGGTGAACTCCCATCCAACAGATTGTTTAGGCATGTTTAGGCATGTTTAGGCATTGAGCCTCCAAGATACTTGAGGGGCAAGAGCCATAGATTCGAATCTGTTGGAGGCAAAGTTCTCATCTCACCATTCTTGTACCTCTCAGTATAGCTATAGCCCCTTGGACAACAACAAGTTTTCCCCACGTATCGCCAAGTTTTTTTCGTATAGGCTCATTTTTTGGTATAAATCAAACAATAAATGGATGATATTCATTGAACTATTTCAACCTTCAACTATTCTCCAACTCAAAAAATGTGATACATCTCTTTAAAAAAGGCGCTTGGCATTCCATCCCCGTTGGAGGCCCTGGTTCCCCCCTGCCTGGCACGCAAAGTGAGGCCTGTTGCGTGGAAAGGACGCGCGGGTGGACGGCTTCTCGTGGGTGTCCACCTCTTGGACCACCGTGGGGCTGCCTCAACTGAGCAGCAGTGGCAAGGCGGGGGAAGGGGCTGGTGGAGGGGGAAAGGGATGGAAAGGGTGGGATTTAGATCCAAAATCTTTGAAAGTCATGAAAGTCATGGGAATATATTTGGAATGTAGATGAATCATCTACACAAGGGGATGCGTTTCCATTAGGTTAAGTTAGATTGTGATTATGAGAGGGTATTCCTCATGGCACTCTCTCTCCACCCCTTGCCCCTGTAGATATTTGCAGATTGGACCCGCCAAAAGTGTGGAAGTTGCTGGCATCCCTTGGTAAGCTCATACGTATATAGCTTTCCAAAGAACCAGGCTGGTTTTATCTGGCAGTATCTGGCTATGTTCCATCCTCCTTTGGTGAGTTGTTTTCACCCCTGGGATGATAATCCCCACGGATTAATCTGGTGATGCCACCAAGATCGTCAAACATCGCCCATGGTTGGCAGACTACGGCTGATCAATAGAGGAGCACACCCTCCATTCAACCATTCGTATGTAAATGACGGCAAACAGAAGATGGTTCTTTTCAAAATGCATCTAATTCAATTCAAAAGAATCTAATTTGGTGCCCCCGATTGAACCACGCCAAACAAATCCAAACATTTGATTGGTTTCGGGGAAAAATTACAGGAAATCCCTGTATTAGACGGGAAAAAGAATGGTTTGCTGCAACTTTTCACTTGAACCAGTGCATTTTCACCAAAGCCACGCGCACTGCAGCAGGTTTACTACGAACTCCACATCCAGTCCCATGACACGCCACAAGTAGGCTCGGATTCGATGTTGACATGGAGAAGGGCTGGGTCTCTGGATCAAAAATTGCTGTGCCCAAGATATATCAAATCATCAATAAAACATTGATAGTTACAGATGTTGCAGTAGATTAATTTGTATACTATTGCAAACTAATGGATGGTCCATGACGGTCAAATACACACTGGTTGGTGTTATCATGTGTTATCAACATAGCCACTGATCCGTCGGGCGTACTTTGTAATCATTTGTAACCCATAGTCAATTTTTTGAACAGTGGCTTCATAGTCTTCATTTTCGTCCAGGACTTACCTGTCAAACGTTCGGGAATCATCTCGATGGCCGTCTCGACATTGCTGTAATTTTGCGCATACCGATCTTGACTGTGATGAACCTTTGCCTCCCCGTTTTCCATCATTTTCCTGTACGATATACCCATTATATATTGTTGTCGACATTTATTATGCACGCTGAGTGTTGCATAGGCGTGTATATAATATAGGTATATATATATCTATAGGTGTGTATTAAATTATTAGTGTGTTAGTTATGATATTATATATATATAAATTAAATATATATTATATGAATTAATGAATTAATCCCGTGCTGTTGTCAGTTGCATCCCCTTTTCCCAAAGGCTGGGCCTCGGAGAAGTTTCGCTTCTTCGGAGATACCTGGCTCTACGGTGTGGGCGATGACCTGGAAAGCTGGGGTGTGGATGGCCGGGAAACCCAGATCTCAGTGGTGGGAGTTGCTGGAGGATGGATGAGATGGAGATCATGTGATAGGACTGGACTAGTGTTGAGGGTTTGGTTGTACTTCAAATCGTTGTACTTTAAAACATCTTGGTCCCAGAGATGATTCTACACTCAAGACATCTCAAGACACATTATTTACGCAAGATAGGCTGATGCTGGCGATTGGATTTGGGGCCACGATTCTTTCAGCTTCAATGGTCCAGCTGCTTCCACTTTCCACTAGCTGTTCCTTCCTCTCGCCATTTTCAGCACTTTCCGTCAGCCTACTGTGTTTCATGACAGCCATGTGGGCCATGGTCTTTTTTTTAGCTACTTACTTCAACATTTGCTTCTGGCGGTTGATATTGACGTCAATGATAGAGCTTGAAAGACACGCCAGTCTGGTAGCTGCTTGGGCTGTTGGTCACTTGCATGTGCCCAGTCCTCTATCACCCAATCAGCCCAAGTACTTTTGGATACAGCCCCCTGGCTCCAACTTGTGCAACCAGATGGAATCACTGCTGTTTCATCAAAACTATTGGAAGTCAAATCGATCAGATCGGTGCCCGGTGCACCATCCAAAGGATTCCAAAGGTCTAAAGCAATTTCCATCAATTTCCTATACTCTCTAGGGAACAAACGTATCCACTTTTTTTGTGGAAAAAAAGTTTTTTTGGATACGTTAGCTGCTGTGAACATACGCTTTGATAAATACCCTATACTTGAGACATGTTAGTTGAAAATCCAGAATGGACATGTTAGTGGAAAAGTTGTCTCCCCGGGAAACTGCCAGAAGACTACCGCCCCGGACGCCCCAGCATCCTTATTTCCAGACCCCAATAGGGCTCAAATCAAAGACCGCATTGATAACAAAACGGTGGAGAAAAAAGGGGCCCCAACTCCTTCCGGAAGAGCGCATCATAGATGATGCTCGTGGGTGGACAGGAAGATTGGGGGTGCATTCCAAAAACCAGTTGCATTTAGTAAGGGTTGGATGACTGGCCACGGAAAGCGCCCACCTAACGTGTCCGTGTTGTTCAGAGGATGTGGTTTTGAGATATGTGAGTGGTTATTGGCTGAATCTATCCCCCCAAAATAGCGAACATATCCCAGATCAGGGTCGAAATCCAAGGGCCCCAATTGCAGGAACTGAGACATGTTAGCTGTTTTTGGGTCAATGGTCCCCAAAAAAGTTGCAATGCATTCCCCAGGAAATCCAGGAAAACGCCGGTACCGAGTGGACATGTTAGTTGATACCTGAAACGGTAGCCCGAGACACGTATCCACTTTTTTTGTGTTTGTTTTTGGATACTTTAGCTGCTGTGAGCATAGGCTATGATAAGTGCCCTATACTTGAGACATGTTAGCTGAAAATCCAGAATGGACACCGGACACGTTAGTGGAAAAGTTGTCCCCCCCCTCTGGGGGTTCCCGGGAAATTGCCAGAAGACTACCGCCCCGGACGCCCCAGCATCCTTATTTCCAGACCCCAATAGGGCTCAAATCAAAGACTGCATTGATAACAAAACGGTGGAGAAAAAAGGGGCCCCAACTCCTTCCGGAAGAGCGCATCATAGATGATGCTCGTGGGTGGACAGGAAGATTGGGGGTGCATTCCAAAAACCAGTTGCATTTAGTAAGGGTTGGATGACTGGCCACGGAAAGCGCCCACCTAACGTGTCCGTGTTGTTCAGAGGATGTGGTTTTGAGATATGTGAGTGGTTATTGGCTGAATCTATCCCCCAAAAATAGCTAACATATCCCAGATCAGGGTCGAAATCCAAGGGCCCCAATTGCAGGAACTGAGACATGTTAGCTGTTTTTGGGTCAATGGTCCCCAAAAAAGTTGCAATGCATTCCCCAGGAAATCCAGGAAAACGCCGGTACCGAGTGGACATGTTAGTTGATACCTGAAACGGTAGCCCGAGATACGTATCCACTTTTTTGTGATTTTTCTTTGGATACTTTAGCTGCTGTGAGCATAGGCTATGATAAATGCCCTATACTTGAGACATGTTAGCTGAAAATCCAGAATGGACACCGGACACGTTAGTGGAAAAGTTGTCCCCCCCCTCTGGGGGTTCCCGGGAAACTGCCAGAAGACTACCGCCCCGGACGCCCCAGCATCCTTATTTCCAGACCCCAATAGGGCTCAAATCAAAGACTGCATTGATAACAAAACGGTGGAGAAAAAAAGGGCCCCAACTCCTTCCGGAAGAGCGCATCATAGATGATGCTCGTGGGTGGACAGGAAGATTGGGGGTGCATTCCAAAAACCAGTTGCATTTAGTAAGGGTTGGATGACTGGCCACGGAAAGCGCCCACCTAACGTGTCCGTGTTGTTCAGAGGATGTGGTTTTGAGATATGTGAGTGGTTATTGGCTGAATCTATCCCCCAAAAATAGCTAACATATCCCAGATCAGGGTCGAAATCCAAGGGCCCCAATTGCAGGAACTGAGACATGTTAGCTGTTTTTGGGTCAATGTGTAAAAAAAAAAGTTGCAATGCATTCCCCAGGAAAACGCCGATATAAAGTGGACATGTTAGTTGATACCTGAAACGGTAGCCTGAGACACGTTTGTTCCCGGGAGTGTATATCCCAATTTTTTTATAACTTTTTCCATGCCTGGCCAGTAGACATCAGCGGACACTGAGGTGGGAGACAAAAGATTTGGCACGGTGGCGAGGCAGTATAGCAGTGCCTGGCGGCATTGCTCGGAGGGCTCCAATTTTCAGAATGTTCTCCAAGGTTCACTTTGGCGGCTCAGAAATTATTCAAGGATACAATCAGTTTTTTGCTGGTGCAAAGTTATACCCAAAAAAAACAAAACCGTGCAGAACCGGAACCTCTAAGTATCTGTAGAAGCTATGGTTCCATGCCAGCTATGATTGCTTTAGAAACTGCTCAGTCCAGCTATACCAACTGATGCTATGGCTGGTTTCGTTTTTCAATGCCATTTCCTGGACGCAGGCTGGAAGTTTTCCATCCACGTGGCCGAAGGAGGTGAGCTGAAGGGGCTGCAATTGGGGTTAGTTTTACTGCTATAGCCATGGTATAACGGTACTATAACCATGACCATGCTATTTTTATCTATTTATCTATTTGTATCCTTTTTTTGCCCATCAAAGCTGCCATGGATCTGGCGCATCAGGTGGTGGTGGGCTGCGCCGCAGATCTCCCCTCGGGGATTCTGCAGTTCAGCACCAACGGTGTTTGGATCAAACCGGAAACATTCTCCGGAGTACAATGCGCTTGGGCCTCAGTGCCAGGAGAGGAGGAGGAGGATGAGGATGAGGATGATGATGATGATGATGATGATGATGATGATGTAGTAGTAGTAGTAGTAGTAGTAGTAGTAGTAGTTTTTATTGCTACTAGTAGTTGATATATACGTAGTATTAGTATCACCATCACTATGATGGTCTTAGTCTTCATGATTATCATTATCATTATCATTATCATTATCATTATATATATATATGTACATATTTATTTATATATATATTATATTATAATCATGATGGTCACCCTGATGGTGAATCCTGGACGTGGCACTGACTGCATTGACGCGCCCCCATGCCCAGGCCTCGTTGTACCCTGCCGTCTCCGGTCAAATGACCGCCTCCTTCAAGCTTCGACCAGAGGAATGGCAGTATGGACCACCCGACGGCTCCTACAAGTCACCTGCGGCTTGTGCTGGGACCTCAGCCTTTTAGGCCTGGAATGGCCTGGATCTTGATCAATGAATCACCATTGGGTGCGTGTGTCACGTGGGTGTGGCGGGCCAGTCTGGTGATATCGAATAAATGCGCTCCTTTTGAAACCATTTTGCATATTTTGATGGGGTTTGTTGGCTACAGCACTGTGTGGTTTCGTTCTGTCCAAAGTTTCCTTGTTTATCATAGTCCTTTCCGCATGTTGAGAGGCGAAACATGGTGAAACTGTTCCATTTGGTCATATTGTGGGTATTGTTTGGTATGGGTCAAACAGTTTTTGTTCCAGAACTACTTGCTCCATATACACCACTTTGTGGCATTCAATTGTGGTTCATGCTGGGCACCCATCTCCAACCCATCCCCTGATATGGCACAGGCCCAGTGTCCACGTGCCTTACCAGCACCCGTGCGTTTTCCCGATGACTGGGCCTCTCGGCGTGAAATCTGAAGCGGAAAATTGTCGGGTCGCAGATGAAGTTAGTTGATCTCATGTGAGTATGGCTGAAATTGGGGTATACCCCGGAAATTAAATGGTTATTTTCAATGATTTTCCTAAGTGAAAAAAATGATGCTATTCCAGGTGAGGTGGTACCATGACTGGTCATCATCTCCTGAGGTTCTGGCGAAGGGGTTGCAACACCTGGCGGAGCGGCAAAAGGTGGGGGGCCTGCGGTATCCTGCGGTTCCTCGTTCCATCCTGTGGTTGAGAACAGGATTTTCATGGATTTTCAAAAAAAAAATTGGAACATCGCCACTTATAGCCACGTTTCAAATTTTGAAACCTGGCGATGTGAACCAAAATTCATGTTTTTTGTTGAAGCAAAATGGATGCTATGATTTTCCAGAGCCTAGGAAAATGATCGGGGAAAAATATGGGAAACCAATTTCGTCATTGGACCAGGATGATCCCTGAAGGATCCCAGCAGGTGAGGGTTGAATGTCATCGATGCGCGCGCCTGTTCTGTATCTTTATCATTCTTGATCCAAGGTGATCCAAGGGTTTCCATGGTTTCCCCTTTCAACTCAGAGAAAGATGGGGCAACCTGATTGGGAGTTCCATAGCCTACTGACACATGTGTTTGGGTCAATATTCAAGTGATTCAAGGTCCAGCAGACTGCAACGTCACGTCATCTGTAATGATAGACCACTGGGCACTCAATTCTTGCCCATCCTCCTTTTTTACAGACATCTATGTACTATTGTAATACATATATATGTAATTATTATTATTTATTATTATTATTATTGTTATTATTATTATTATAATTATATATTATCATTATATGATAATATATATATATACATATATACACCTCAGTTTTGTCAAAGCAAAGATCAGCCGTTTCCCTCTCCAAAACGACGACCTCTGAAGAGCCAGCAGCGTCAGGTGGATTTGCTCACCACGCTTCAAATATCATGCACCGTGGTCTTGTGCTGACCTGAGCCTTCTCAACCTGTGATGTTCCCATGTGACCATGTGAATGCAGGCCAGCTGCACATGGTCCAAATGATTTGGAAGCTGAGGTTACCCATGATTGTTAGCACAAGTACGTACCATATCGATTACTTTTGTTAGTGACAAGTACCATCAAGTACCCAAGAGTTGTCGACCAAAAAAAAACCAAGACCCGTCCTGCTCAGCCGAGGCCCTCCGTTGAAGACCTCACTCTGGAGGGTTTGATCCTCAGCTGGGCCGTGTATCCAAAGGGGCTGGCTTTGGGAAAAAATGGAAACATATGGGAAAAAAAACTCTGGAAAAAACCAGATGTATAATGTTAAAAGATTGATGTTTTCTTGCTGGTGATTTCGAATCATTTATATTGATTTATGGTATTGTACTGTATTTCAGTACTGTGAAGCATCCATCTTCTAGGCGGCAGTGTCGTTCCGGAAGATATTGATGATTCCTCAATGAGAAATGGCACCTAAACTTATTAAACTTATCTCCATTTAGAGAGCGGACATTATGCACGTCTTATCAGTTTTGACTTCCCTATGCGACTGATGCAGGGAAGCACTTTATCAGTTTTGATAGTTGCGTGTTACTTTTTGGTGACTGTTCCACCGGGTAATACTTTCACATGGTAAGATGTCCAATCAGCTGGGAAGGATGCTACAGCCTTCATTTATACAAAAGAATGATACCGAACATGATCCTCAAGCTCCTAGACGGGCCGCATCCCACGCTTCAAGGAAGTTGGGTTCTAAGTGGTTTCCTTGTATCCTATTCTGCTTGTTGGTTGCACTCAGGTGTGAAGCCTGAAAGGTCCAAGGTGGCCGTAACAGCCCGGGCCCTCAGAGGCAGTCTTTGCTCGATCAGTGGAAGAATGGAAGTTGCCAACCCCGTGGATGTTGCTAGGTATTATAGCATGTGTGCACGTGCAGGATATAATGGGAATATAGGATGTGTTCCCTGAAAATATGTTTCATAGACCTGATGTCATTCTAGCAGGCCGCACCTTGCCTCTCCAAGTAGGAGTTGCATCTGTCTCATAGAAGGCCACCTGTGTTTAATCTTGGTCTTGGACCCTCAAAGAATGATCCAAAATGGCCGAGGATAGGGTCCTCCATTTCTGGACACATCCACTAGAATTTTTGCGAGAAACTAGATGGTTTCAATTTCACACTTAGAATTGAAGTTGTTTCATAATCCTAATCCCACTGAGCCAAGATGGCCATTCTACACTTTTTAAGTAGGAAAAATCCCATCTTGAGTGTTGATAAATGTTACCCAAAGGACGCCTCGGATGAACTCTTTGGCTTCGTCCTGGATGCGGACGGGATGGGGCAGCTGGATATGGCCATTTTCTGGTGGGTTCCTGTCCAGCCGGATTTCGGTTCGGATTTCTTGGTATAGTTCATGGTGCATTTGTTGAATCCCGCAAGCTGTACGGCATTGCACGGCTCAGAATGGAATTTGTTGGGAGGGATTGAAGTTGTTGGGATCTTCCACACCCATTTGGGATCTTTTAGTTGTGTATCAGTGTATCACAAAGAGGGACCCAAAAATGGGAACACCATCAACAAAATCTGCAGACCCCAAGTTCTTATTTTCCTTTTGTACGGAAAACGCCCTGTTGACTGTGACCCAAAGTTGGAACATCGTAGCACCATGCCAGCATGGCTTTGACATTTGGAGGCCCACCATAGCTCATAAGTGGCATCCAAAAGATCCTCTACTTAACCAGAGTCTCTGGAGGACGGGCAACCCCGGTCCAGCGAAGAGTGGGTGGAAGAGACGTGGGGGTCCCAAGAGTCAGCGGACTGCTTGCCAGTTACTCACTGATCTCACTGTGTCTAAGTGGGTTATTATGCAACGGCTATATCTAGGATATCCGATATCCATTGGATATCCAATGGATATCCAATGGATATCCCAGTTAGGATCATAAGGATCAAAGGCGTTAGCAACCCGAATGGATGTGCAGGTTGGATTCCCTCGGCCTCACCGTGAGCAGCGCTGCCGGGGCAGCGTTACGCCTGTGGAGCCAGCAGTGTTGACCATCAGCAAGCTGTAGCTGTGGTGAACCGAAGCAATGTATATATGATATAAATGTGGGGCAATCTGGAAAAAATGAGTTTCAAACCCCAAATTGATGGTTATTGTTTGGGGTTTAGTCATGTTATAAGTTACGCTATTCTTCTCAGTGCATGCTCTCCATTCCGAGGAGATTCATTCTTGGTGTAAGGTCATAGGTTAGACTACTGAAGCGTAGAACGGCAGAACCATCGTCTATCCCCATTGTTTCAAGGTTACAATCATGTTGAATACCCATTTTGTTGTTGGGTGATGAACTCCCCATTTTGATCACTTGTGATCATTTTTTGATCATTTTTCATCCATCTTTTTGATTCTGTTTGCTGGCATCAGCCAGGCTCTGGCAAACGGATGCAGATGTGCAGTCGCCACGGCTCTCTGCCAAGCTGGAAGACCTTTGTTCGCATCAGGCCTGGTGCTGAAATCTGTGGCTGGGATGATGCAACTGTTCATTACTTGGATGAGTCGGAAGTGTACAAGACATAGAAAGCCAGGTATGAGGACTTGCCACTGGGATAAAAACTGGGCGAAAAGGGCATGTAAACAAGTTATAACAAGTTGTAAGGGGTAACAGCCCAGTTGCGAACTGCTTATTCAGGGATCATTCCAGAGGGCTTCGTTTGCTCGGGAAATGCGAGCCAGAGGGGCATCCCGGACGCTGGGATACAAGCAACTTTTCTCCCATCGCCCTTTGGTGTTTGTCAGTTTCCAATCAACACAGGTGAATCTTGGCAGCCGGAAACAGATCGAACAGGTAGATGTGCGGATCTACCTACCTTGAAGCAATCGAATGGAAATGGCATATTGCCTCCAATCCTCTAGTATCCCGCCATTCCAAGATGATCTAGAACCGACCCACCAAGCAGATGCGGGAGCTGAAAATGTTTGGCTGGGAAGAAACGACCTAAGGATGCCAACTTCAAGAAAGCATGCCCTGGGGGATCGATTTGAGGGTATCCCCCAAACGTATCCAACTCCCTTTAAACATCCGGCACGTCAGGGGTATAAATCATTATAAATCCAGTATATATTTGGATTCACCCTTTACCTGATCATCCTTTTCGGTTGGGATAGACACCAACCGCAGAGGTGACTCTGGTGAGCGACAGCATGCCATCGTGGGTACTTCGGCTTGGTACAATGATGCACGGAGACCAAGCAGACTGCAGCGGCTGCTCGTTAAATGTGTTGTTGGCAACTGGCACCTGGATGGATTTGAATAATTTCGATTTATATCTGGCCATCCCATGTCATCCTCCGGTTGCATTTGCATACTGGTTTTTGAAAGATCCATTGTGATGAAAGCGGTGCTTGGCTAATGGGTTTCTGACCATCAATAGCAGCGGATATGTCCAGCAAATTTGCTGGTCATACCTTCCCCAACAAAAATGGAGATGAACAAGCCAATCACAAATCGACTCATTACTTGGATCATCTGGTTTTTTGGGAGTTTAATCAACATTAACACTGATTAACCAGATACCCTCTGGTAAATAAACATAGACCCTGAAAATCACCAATTTTTAATGGAGACTAATCTTCCAACCCCTATCTGCCAGGGTCTATGTTAATTTACCAGAGGGTAGATCATAGATTAACCTTCATCCAAGTTGAAAACCTGACCATATCTGACCACTCTTCCAGGCCTCGCCTCTTTGATCGACATTGTCGCGAAGTGCTGCTGAGGTGCCCGGGCAACATGGGGGGATTTCGATTGTGTCAGTTCAATTACCGGAGGGTACCCAGAGAGGATGGTGATACGCAACAGATGGGTACCCAGATGTCTATCGTTTCAATCCTTTTCAATACCTTTCAATCCTTTTGATGGGTTTCTTACAGATGAAGACATAGTTTGATGGTTGGACGGTTGGAACCCCACCCCACTTCTTGAAGGTGTTTTGACCATAATGTCCTGAATGGAAAGGGTCGTCTTGCTTTGCATGTTCATTCTGAAGCCGACAGTAGGGGTATAAAAATGGTACTCGTACAAATTAGCCTTGCAAATCATTAAACTGGTCAATCATTAAATCCCAATTTGTTTGCTGATGAAGTCTCCACATGTGCGTGTTTGACCCCATCCACCCCATTTAGATGTACATAATAGGTATGGGTCAAAATTATTGACCCCCACAGTGGACGGTTTTAGCCTTTCGTGGGACATGCGATAGGATATACCATTTGGATCCTAGAGGAGGAATGAAATGGTGAATTGCCGCTTTACTATCCTTAGGGATCCTGTGGATTTCTCATCCCATGTTATTCTCCAATACATTTAATTTATTACGCCCTTAGAATCCCTGGTTGAGTACTGGATCTATTCACTTTGGACCCCGTGTTGGTGGTGTTTCACATTAGGTGGCAGATGTTATTTTAGTTTATCCGTTAAGACATATTAAAACTAGTGTTAGTTGATCATATTGCCAGGGTATTCCCAGAGAACAGGTATATTTTCCCCATCAGCATGTCCATTAAAAATTCAGTAATATTATTCCCATTGTCTGGCCTCTTATAATGGTTTTTTTTCTCCCCTCTGAGGTCTTCAGCCTTTGGCTTGCCCTTTGCGGTGCACGACCGCCAGACCCGCGAGGTGCGGAAATGGTCTGACTTGGATGATTTCATGTTAGGAAACCTCCAATGATCAATGATTAATCCGGCTATGCATGGGTTCAATTTCTATGTCTGGTTTGGAGAAATGCTGAGCAGCATGGAGACGTTGGTAGTGCATCGAGGAACTTGGTGTAAGATGGTGTAAGTGCATAGCATCCATCATCCATCATTTTGTGGTTCTGGCGCATCTTCTGAGGATGAACATCCATCACTACCGGCCATTTTGGTGATTTTTGGTGTGCGAGTGCTTTGACGCCATACGGTCCCATACCATCCCTGGTATTGACATAGTTATCTAGTTCTTATGTGAACATGTGTCTGATTTGTGATCATTCTACCATATTTGACACATTCATGAGGGTATATATTCTACATTATTCTACTATGGATACACCTGTGACACTCGGCAGGTGAATCGCCGTTATAGCGAGGCGAGGGACGGGACTGGTTGGTGCTTCTCGGGACATCACCGGTTGGTTTTTTTTGGGGACCAGTCCCAAGATGTTTCACGTGCATCAAAAGCTCTGTAGTCTGCTTGAAATGCATTTGCCGAAGCTGAAGGGTCTATTTCATGGGGTTTCAATGGGTTCCAGGGCCCCAGTCACCATGAAGAAAAATGGAAAGATTATTCAAGACACCAGCGCCAAGTCGTGCTAGGTCATGAAGGCGGCAGAAGGTCGCGTGGCTCAAGCGAAGAATATGGGAGATCAACGAGCTCTGTCCGAAGCCTCAGGTTTTGAGCTGGCATGGTCATACCTTCATCCCAGGGTGCGTGCCGTTTGACACCACCGTGCAACTGCACTGAATACGGGATGTCCATGATGTTAATATCTGAAATTGTGGGAAATCAATCGGACTTGAAAGTGCAAGAGTGATAAGAAAGAATTCCCTTTGAAAGTGCTGCGCCCATTATGTTTCCCTCTTGCTCTGACTGTTGGTGCCCTGCAGATGCCCTGCTCCAGCGTTTGTGCAAAGATTTGTGCCCATCACCTGCTCTGACATAGGGCGTTTGCCCAGGAATTATGCACAAACAGGGATGGTCATGCAATCACCAACATCTTGGGTACTCCTATACTACAATACATGAACCCCGGTATGTATTGTCCCTTCCCCCCAATATTGATTTGGGGGTCCATATTGATTTGGTATTAGGGGGCTGCGTCAATCCATCCCTGGTTTATCCCATGAAGCCCGGATCCAAATGGATGATTTTTCAGCATCGCGGACTTGGATGTCCTGCATTTTCTGTGCCATGTTGTGCGTACTTTGGGGATCATCTCCCAAGCGACATGCATCTTATTGAAATCACACCGCAGCTCCGATTTCCCTGGACAACTGCCTTACATTTTTTTCCCAGCAAGGATGCCTTTGCCCTGATAGTTTCTCATGTGTTTCAGAACATGGAAGTGCTTCACCTATATAATGGTTTTTGGATGTTTTCGGCATGTCGAAAACCGAGCCTTGGCCCAGGTCACAAGCTTATGAGCACCTCTTTGAGCTCACCAAGCAGATTTCGCAAGATCCAGAGGTGCATGGCTCAGGATTAAACGGAATCTAGCCAACCACGGGGACATCAAAGTCATCCAAGGGACTCATGATCTTTTGACAAATGAAAGTGAGGATGTAACGATAGCTGATATGGCTCAGGTCGATCACTGATATCGGGCAAGACTATTGGATATACAGAGACAGCAACGACTTGGGGGTGGATTCATACTCAAACTCACCAGCACGGCCATTGCTGTAGGTTTGGATTGGCTCTTTGACATCTGAGTTGGCCAAAGTGGACAGGCGCCATATTCCCTACACTACCTGACAACTGCCAATGGGATGATTCTGGGAAAGATGGGATGGGCAGTATGCAGCTGTTGGGAGAGAAGCATGCATCAACGGAGAAATGATCTATCAAGGACGGGATACTAGGTGTTGTATGGTGTTGTACAATTGTCGTCATTTTCCCGTCATGCGAGTAAGCATGGTGAATAGTGTCCGATATGATATATATATATATATTGTGTAGAAACATTCAAAAATTCATCCTCCCAGAAAGAATGGAATCCTGCATTCTTTGTGTGGTGTCTCTATCTCAGATGATTTCAAAGACCAAGGGATTGACAGATCTTAATCGGTTAATGTGCGTTGTTTGAATACATGTTTGGTGGTTAAATATGGTTAAATCATGTAGTTTCCCGGTAAAACCAGAGTTCTCCCCATGGTTTCATCATGCGCAGGGAGCGCATTTGGGATCAAGCCGCGGCGCTGGCTGAGTGCTGCCTGGTCCACTGGCCTCAGAGAAGTTCCTGGGGACAACGGTGAATGATTGATAGGTTGATTTGTCTCTTAGTTTGCTGATTAGTATTGATTAGTAGTTGATTGGTGGCTGATTGATTGGTTGATTCATTGGTTGGTTGGGTTATTTCTTTGTTTAGTTGTTTGGTTGTTTGTTTGTTTGTTTGGATTGCTGGATGGCTGGATGGCTGGATGAGTGATGATGGTGGTGATGGTGATGGTGATGATCATGATCATGATCATGATCATGATGATGATCATGATCATGATCATGATCATGATCATGTTGGGTTTGATGATTGTGGATGCTAGACAATGGACAAAAGATTTTGAAAGTTAGCTGATAGTGGCGGATGCGCCTTGCAACCAACCAACATTTGCTTGCTAAGTCGTCTTCTGGTGTGGTCGAGATCCAGTTCAAGGCGCTGCCAGCACCAGTTGACTTGTTTGAGGACTACCAACTGCTGGAACACCAGAAATCCACAGAACATCACAGAACTGCTTGATGGTTTCTCAATGTTTCTCATCTTTCAAATTCGTACTCAGTCGGACAGAGATGGGTGGGGAATCAGGAAAGACTATCCTGGAATTTATTCCTGAATCCATCAGCTGATATTAGCTGCTAGCTGTTGCTAGCTGCATTCCCTCCTCAAGATGCTCCGAGAAATTCTCCCGGCTTGCCAGGATGAGACAGGCTTCGGCCGCGGCGTCACGCAAGGCGGGGGGCTCTGTTCATCAAGGCTTTCCTTGATAGACCCATGCTGCGTAATTTGGATGCATAGATTCCAGCATTAGTAATCACTAGTGACTAGTGGATTCAAGGCCCCAGCCCTCCTGTAATTGACAGGAGCTATGAGGCTTCTGAAGACAGGATATCCAATTCTTGGTACATGTTCCAAGGGGATCTTATTCCCGGGGGGAATGTCTTTCCAAAAACACATGGTGGGATTCATATCTCTCTAGAGGGCTTCTCAGGTACCCCAGCTTGCCAGACACACCAGCATACGTGTATGTCTGAAAATGGAATAGCCCAAAATACCGTGGCTTATGTTTATTGCTCACAGGTTCAAACTGCGATTGGATAAAGCCATTTGCCTGATATTGTTGTTTACATCCCATTGTATCCCCTATTATATCCTGTTGTATCCCAATTCCCAATACATCCTCATAAGCGCTCATAGAACGGTTGTTAATATTCCGCATAGTATACCCATTTCGTGGCGTTGATTGGTTGTATCCAATTGCAATTCTGTTACTGGTATGCTTTGTCTCCAGAGTGTATCCCCGTTATTTTCCCATCAGCTCCAACATATATGCATATATATATATATGTACTGTATATACAATAATTTCTAATGTCATCCCATTGTATCCCATGATATTCAACCATACAATACCTTTTTTTTGGATACTTCTATATTACATGTTTAGATCTATAAGTATATTCAATTCTGAAAGTATTTCTATATCATATATTCTCATTGTAAATTATCGTATTCTGTTGTATTTTCTTTTTATTCATTCCCACAGTTGGTGAATATCCTAATCTATTGTATTAGTATCCCATATCTATATAATAGTATATAATAGTTAACATCATAGTTAATTGACATCCTCATGGGAATCCACATCAAATCCAGGAGCTCCAGTCGGCCCCAGGTTTCTTCAGTGACGTGGCCAAAGAGCTCCAGCGCTCCTCCAACAACAGCGACGTCCCGATGTGGGCCGCGACCTCGGTGGATATGGAGGGTTATTTTTGGGGGGGAATTACTGTTTTTCCGTTTTGGGCATTTTTGGGGGATTTCTGTTTCCCTGCTTCTTTCCTTTTCTGCTTTTTGTTTTTCTGCGTTTCCCTGTTGTTTGTTTTTACAGTTCTTTGATTCTCTGTTTCTCGACTTTTTTGCTTCTCTGCTTCTTTGCTTCTTCGCTTCTCTGCTTCTCCACTGTGCTGCCTCTCTGCTTCTGTGCTTCTCTGCTTTTCCCTGCTTTTCCAGCTTCTCTGCTTACCTGCTTTTCCGATTCTCTGCGTTTCCCTCCTTTTTTGTTTCTCATACTGCAGATAATCCTTAAGAAACATCATGTAAATAAACCCTAAATCAACCATAAATAAACCCCAAACCAACCAAAGAAACACTAAAGCAACTCTAAGTAAACCCTAAACACTCCCTAAATAAATTTGAAACTAATCCTAAATAAACCTTACACCAGCCGTAAAGACCTTAAACCAGACCTAAATAGATCTTAAGTCTTAAACCAACGCTAAACACACCTTAAACCAATCTTGCATAGGTCCTACACCAACTCTAGATAGATCCTAAACCAAGCCCGGATAAACCCTAAACACACCCTAAACCGGCCCAAATAGATGTTCACCCAAGCCTAAATAAACCGTAAAAGATCCCTAAATATATTTAAAGCAGGCCTAAATAGATCCTAAACCAACCCTCAACACACCTTACCCCAACCCTAAATAGGTCCTAAGCCAGCCATAAATAGGTCTTAAACCAAGCCTAAATAAGACCTAAAACAAACCTTAAAAAGATCCTAAACTAACCCAAGAAGCTAAATAGAACCTAATTCAAAAACCAACCCTCAAAAAAGCTTAAACAAACAAAACCCCCTAAACTAACCCTAAAACCAACCTTAAATGAACCCTAGTTGCAGACTACCGTGTTACATGAACAGTTCGAACTCAAAAATGCTGCAAATTCCGTTGAAAGTGCAGTTTCCAGCTCCAAAATGTTACAAATTCCACCAACTTCCGGCTCCAAAATGCTGCAACGGATCCCAAAAAAAAAACAAACGGAAAAAAAATAATTCCCAAAACAATTCCGGACCCTTAAAATATTATATGATTTTATATGAAATATTGGTATATATTGTAGATATATGATATATGTACGTAGATATTACAAGCATTGTTCCTTATCCAGCCTAGTAATTCATGACTAGTAGGAAAAACCATATATACATGCTTTTCCCTTTTGGCTTGGGGGCAGATGGAGAAGAACCATATATACATGCTTTTCCCTTTTGGCTTGGGGGCAGATGGAGAAGGGCGGGCTACCATGTAAGTTTTGAAGTCGCAACCTCACTTGTCATATCTAAAGGCCTAAAAGAGCTATAACTCCCCTAGAAATTGAAGATTGGATGAGTTTATTTTTTGAAATTCACCCATTTGGATCCACATTTCATCAATTTGGATCTGAGTTATTCATCAGCATCCAATTTTTTGGTTGGGGCCAAACTCATGGCTTGCCTCTTCCCCAAGGCCCAGTGCTTGGAATCGGAGGGCGAATTTTTGCGGAGTCGTCGCGGCCTGATCGTTGGGGGCCTTGGATGGCCCACTTTCGTCTGAAAAATGGCGATTTTGATGGGGAAAATATAGGAACATGATGGAACATGCTGATATATTCTGATAAACCATAAGATTTTGGAGTGCCCTACTTTCAGTCAGTCCTAAATTGTTGAATATGTTGGGATGTCCATATTCCAAAATGTGTGATGTTTGACACATCTTGACACCACGGTTCTTGCAGAAGAATTCCTATTGTTGAATGATTAGAACATGTTGAAAACCATTGTTCATTGGTTAAGCAAGCCTGAAATTATCTGAAATTGCAATATTGTGCTGGTCAAATCCTGGCTGAGAAACTCCACTTATTGCCATAATTATCGTGAAATCCCATGGAAATCATCATGGAATTCCTACCTTTTTGCATCTGTTTGCTGCTGAAAATCCCATGATCAAGGTGCAGCCGTTGGCCGGCGACGACCCGCGGCTTCCCGAAGTCATGGCGCGTTTCCGGGCCCTTGGTCGTCTCTTGGCCATTGCCTTGCGAGAGTCCTTTGTGGTGCCCCTCCCATTGGCAGCAGCTCGGCGGAAATCCTGGTGAATGGATGTAGGTTGGTTGGACCAGCATCTTTGTGATTCTATGAATTTGCTGGTTTTGGTGGTTTTTGATTGGTTAAAACCAGTTTGATGGAAGAATATTCCATATCCGACCAAAACATTGACGTTTTCTGGAGGTTATTCGGTGATTTGCCATGCAAAACTGGGGATGTGAACCAAGACTAAGTGGAACTTTCTATGGCAAAGGCCCTACATGTTGTGTGGGTGATGCACAACCCCGACATGAAGTTAAATGTCGAATAATGTAGAATAGCAAGGGCCACGGTGATATTTGTTTCGGATGCTGGATCTACAGGATGCCCAAAAAACACTGAGGCCACAGTACTGTGTCAGCTGCGTGGAGAAAAGGCACCGGTGACGCAGGGTAGCGAGGTCACAATTCCTGTCAGATACACAAGACTGGATGTGTATGCGACATGCGCTGGTGTTTGAAAAATAGGGGTTACTGCTTATCGTAGCGCCAAAGGCCCAAGCATTTTCATGATATTCCATTATATTTTCATTATATGTCCATTATATCTCCATGATATTCCACTAGATTCATCTAGATTCTAGATGTTCATGATATTCCAATTATCCAATCATTTATCATTTATCCAATGATTATCCAATTCTATGCCACCCAAAAATCCAGGTATGGTTAGTTAAAATGTCTTCCCGGAAGCGGCCTCCTTCCAGGTGGCTTCAGAGCATTTGCCGCAACCGGGTGACGGCTTGGCCGGCGAATTCGTGGGCGCCTGCCGGGGGATCCCAGTGGCGCGCACGTGGAGCAGTGGTGGTGTTACCAATAAACCAATAGGCATGGAGGTTAAACCAATAGGCATGGAGGTTAAACCAGCAATAGTGGAATAATCATGGGGATATAATATGATATTTCATGAATATCTGTATAATATATGTATAACATACCTATGTATAATATATGTATAATATATATATATAATAAATCAATGAATTAATGGGATTATATAACAGACGTGGTGTACCCAATGCCATAAACCTACCATTTGGGGATGATTTGATAGTCCGCCCATTTCGGGTATTCTTTGGAACACTCTTGAGCGAATGTCCTGGCCCATCAAAGCTGGTTGAGAGTTGGGAGGATGCAAGCAAAATACATGCAGATCTAATGTAGAACCAATGAAACTCGGTATGATCTTTCTAGAAAAAATGTATGTTGATTGAAGGATGGTGATAAATAGAATGTCCCATGTTGAATCGCAATTTCCAATATTTTCCAATTGGATTGTCACTTTCAGTAGCCAGACTCAACTCCTTTCAGATCATCTCCTGTGCGGCTTTGACCCCACCGGTCCATACAGTGAGAAACCACACTAGACGTCTGGGAAACTGTGGTCGCATGGGGGACCTCTGCAAACCATGGTGATTAGGAAAAAGTTCTTCAAGTTGTTCAAATGTAATGGCCTTCTTTTTGAAGATGTGTTGTTTTTGGAGGGCAGTTGCGTTGAAAGGCATAGGCATAGCCATGCAAGTCATTCTTCTGATCCATTACTGTCAGGTTTTGAAAAAAATCAGTATGAAATAGTCCTGGCTCAAAGTGTGTGTGTGTGCGTGTGTGTGTGTGTGTCACACCAAAACCTGCAAGATACGATATGATGAATACTTGAAATGATTGGATCTAAATTATGGAACAATTGACTGGAAGGTGCTTTACTTACTATACTTCTCCTTTGCCAATTTGCCCTTCGTTTTTCCCTTGGGTGGTTTGATCCAGGTGCCTCATTCGCGTCCGACCTCAAGGATTTGAGCCAGGATGAGAGGCGACACCGGGCGAGAGATTTTACGAATGGCGGATGTGCCCAACATTGCCCAACAGCCCAACAGTATCCTGTCGGTGATAAGTGATATCTAACTTAATCTAACTTAGTCGAATTGTTCATGGATGATGAGATTCGCACAATTGGTGAATGGTAGGGCCACTGTGACCATGTCATCGAATGCAGGATGGCCCGGGATATAGAGGGTCATACTCCCAAGATGTGGCCGAGGGAGGTTCCATTTCAGAAACTCGTAGACAGCAACGTCTACACTGGATGTGGCTTTGGGCTTTGGTTGTCCCTATTCTCCAAGGTGACGAAAGGCCATTAGACAAGGATTGTTCTGCGCACCAACATCCCAGGTAGATTTTCTGAGGTCTGACACTGCAATAGCAACAACACAAGAGTGCGTTTTTCTGTTGTTGGCTTTCTTAACTTTACAATCTATACATATCTATACTGTATCAATTTGTATACTGTTAGTGGCCTGTAAGTACTTTTGATCGTGGGGCAGGTTGCCATGGTCAAAACCAGCGTGGTGTTCCAGTTGGGAATGATGACCTCATAGATTGTTGGTTGACAATGCTATGTTTCTGCAATCTGGCTGAAGGAAAACCCTCTAGCACCAAGTGATCCACAACCCTTTAAAGATGAGGATTGTTTTCCATATGTTCAACCCAATCAACCCTATTCTGCTCGAGATTAAAACAAGCACGATCTCCCAATAACACGTTTGGCCACTCACCTTGTGCTCCGCATCGCTTCGCCGTGTTGTGGCTGATTGCAACGACAGACATTGAAGTGTTATGGCCCAGAAGGGTGCAAGTAAAGGACAAGTATGGACAACTGCTGATAACTGCATTGCCAATTTTGAGAAGATGCTTCCATAAGGATATATGGAAGTTTGCCAGATGAGTATTGTTCGAAGGGATCCAAAGGGTATATTTGGCAACAATGAAGCAATTCTGTGGAAGAGCTACGAACTCTGTACATGTTTGCACAGCAGATCAAGCCAAGTCACTGGAGTGTAGAGCACTGCAGCGGTTTCTTGGTTTCAATAAGAATCTACCATCTACCACACATCTCAAAATAAAAAATGGCTCGAACACTGAATCTACAACATACTTTCTGGTGGATTCAGGTTGGCAATCGGATATATCCAACTCATATTGTCCACTGCCACCAGGGGTCACCAGGTGTGGAGACAACAGGTACCTCCGTGGAGATCCTGTGCCGGTGCCCGATGCGCGGCCGGATCCGCTTGGGTCATTCGTTGCCCCGGAGGTTCTGCGGGCTGTCACTGCGGCTGCCCGCACTTTTGGGGCCGGGATGGCCGACACTGCAGAGTTGGCAGCTGAACCAGAAACCATGGTGGATGCAGGGGGTTTACACCTCTTAATAACTGTTAGAGGGATGGGATTGCAACATTGACCGGGTAGAATTTTAGCATATTTTGATATATACTGCAACGCATAGTTATGATTTTAACAGCTGGGGTGTCAAGCCGGGGACCTCTCCCAGCAATGCAAAGGAGGATTTGGGGATTCGAGCCGTACTTTGCCTGCCAATTTTAAGTCAATGGTCTCTTCCCTTGCCAGCTGAAAGAGTTGTGCAATCAAGATGCAACAAGTCCCAAGTTGACCGTGGTCAATTGTTACTCACCGCCGAATAGTTCAAACGATGTATATCCAGGTTCCACCAGATGTGCACGGCAGTGCGCGGGTTGCCCGGCCACGGGCCACGACCCCAGGTATTTGAAGATGACCACCTCTTTGGGATGGACTGAGAGGTGGTCAGACTGGAAGGAGGGGCTGCTATGAAACATCCCCGAAGCTCAAAAGAACGAAGAATTATTTTAACAGTTCCCACTGGTCTTTTAGACTACAAACTGGTTGGTCAAGGGCAAAATAGTGATAGTGTATACATCAGATCATCAGGTTGCAAAGTGCTAAAAATGACGAACTTCGGTCCATCCTTTAAGTTTTGCATCCCATCAGGAGCCTGGCCATTTGGCAGAAGAACAAACCAAAGTGGTGAAGGCTCCAGGGCAAAATGGGGAAAAGGGGGCTTTGGAAACCAAGACATCCTTGGATGATTTTCAGGTCACGTTTAGGAATTTTAGGTAGATGTTTTTGAGAGCCAATCCACTTATTGTTTTTTTTGAAGGACCCTTTCTAAACCAAAACCAGATTGGTTTTATCATGTTTTATCCACTTTGAGTGGTACAAAAACTGTGCCAACTTTGAAAATTAGGTTTGCGCAACAACACACCAGGTGGAGTATGGGTTGAAATTTCACACACACAAATTGACTGGTCAATATTGTCACCAGCAAACACTTCAATGGAGCGCGCAAGGGTTGCCCTTGCTTGACCCAAGGCTGATTGCTGCCCCTATGGTTGCCTAGTTTTTTTTGGCAGATTGTCTTGATGATGTTTCGGCAGTTTCCCTATGTTTGTACCATTCCCTACGTATTGAAATTCAATACCATATATATAGATGTTCTTGACATAGTCTGAAATGCACAGCAAATGCACACTATTCTACTGTGGTTTGGAACATTTTTTATTTTCCCATATATTGGGAATAGTAACCCCAACTGACGAACTCATATTTTTCAGAGGGGTAGGTATACCACCAACCAGTCTACCTTCATCATTTTTCATCAACCAGTTCCTCCATTGTCGCGTTGCAAACTATCCCATGTTGATCTCCAGGAGCTGCGACGTACCGATGCCACATGGCTCCTTACCACGCAGGACATGGGATGGTTTGGGTCCCAAAATCCCACCGGAAATCCTGGATGTTGATCGCCATCCAAATCCGACAGGACGTGCTTCGGGACCTCTCCGAAGGTCTTCAAAACGATCAGCACCAGGCGTCGTTGCGAGATTGTGCTATCCGCTATCCAATATGGGTTTGTGGGCAAATGATGATCAATCTAGGGATTTTGGCGTTCCGAATTTTGAGATGATCCTACATTGATGATATATAGAATTTATAGAAGGCTTGACCCCTAATCATGAATATAGTCTCACTGATGATTGAAATTGCACGCAAGTTGACGCAGTGCACGGTTGCTCAGCACAGCTTAAGGGAAAAGGGGTCAAAATCCAGGGTGTTGTCAACTTATAGGCGCACGCAAATTGTTTCTAGCACTTGTATTCCACTCTTTGCAGATGGTGAATTTGGGTTTGTCTAGAAATGGGGCACCCCTTAACCTGTTAAAGTGGCCATTTTTGGGTATACCATGGTACACCTGTTCTGACAGCTCAAGTTGCCCAAGCTCCGAGCTCATTCAGGCAGCCGCTGAAGATTTCGAAAGCCAAGTCAGTTTGCAGAAGTTGCTGTGCAGAATTTCCTAATTTCAACGTCAGTGAAAAAGGCCAACATTTCATGTGGTTTCGAAGATGTTTATTTCTCACATATTTGGGATGATTGGGGATGTAATGGTGACGCAAAATCTTTTCTAAGAGGTGGTGTTGAGAATTGGGGACTCGACGTCAGATGTTCATATTGTGAACCAAGAAGGATTCGATCAATCCTGCTACTACTTTGGCACCTTTTGGTGCAATGGATACAAGTTGAGATCAGAAACAAAACCTGGCCCAAAATTAGGGGACCCAATTTCAACAGGGTGAGGACGTGAGAATGGTCAAAGCGATGCTCAGGGGTCCAATATCTTCGCATTGGTATTCATATATTTTGAGCCCCTGCAAGTTGTTCGAGTTGGGATCCTTTGACGCAAAGCTGTTGTCCATCGAGGTTGTTGTTGGAAGAAAAGGTTTCGTTGCTGAAAACGCATCGCGAGACTTTGAACAAACGACTCTCAGAGGAGGAACGCAGCAGATCGCCTTGAACCACTGGAAATCGACAGTAAACAACCATAAACAACCACCACCAACAACCATGGTGGGTTTATGGTGGGTTTATGGTGGTTTTGTGAAGAGTTCTGAATCCCCTGGGAATCACTGGTGAGATCACAGACTCGGGTCGATTTCCCCACGCTGCAGGAGTTCGCAGTGCTGGAGGAGAAATGGTACGAGTACTTCCAAGCCAAGAAGGTTGCTGAGATGACGATGAGAGTTGACCAATACCCCACTCCAAGACTTTCCAAATCCAGGTTTTAGTGTGTGCAGACGCTGATTTTTTGGGGACATTGGAAAAAGAAGAACATGGTATCCACTTAGATGTTTCACTCACTTGATTTCAGGAGCCAGGATTTCATGCATCACGGGTGGACTTCCACTGATGTTTTTTTGTTGGACACTGCCCTTGTATTGAATTTGCATGACATCAGCTTTACTTGCTTGAGGAAGCCAAAGGAAATCAGTTCCATCCACGCTACCTACCTTCCATCATGTTCTACCCCGGCCATGGTTTCTATACTGGCATTGTAGATGCAAGTAGTAACTGCTCTACCCCAACGATCGGTTTTTCCCAGGTTCACTCCGAGATGGAAGCTCAAGGAAAGAGCGGTAGAATGGTGGGCAGTGATAAGATCAAATCTAGCTCCCGCTGGAACATGTCACTTGTCGGCTTTTCAGATTTTGTATCTCAGCTTTGGAAGATGATCTCTGGCCATAAGCCAGAGGATTTGGATGTTTAGGGGGCTCAACAACCAGGCAAGATATGTCTCGCTATGTGAGAGCTTTTGCATCGCTTTCTTGGCAATCGGGTCAATCAACCTCTGCTTTGAACATTGAATCACTGGAGAACCACTTGCAATTTCCAATCGGCCCCTTTGACGTGCAGCTCCACAAATGTTTGCAGAACGAACAGTGGAAGCGCAGATATTTGAGGACATGGGATTTCCAAAACTATCATCACATTTATCCTCAAGCCATCTCAAGCCCCTTTACCCTCAAGTCATCTCAAGTCCCAATCGGTTTTTCTCGTTCCCCGCATTTTTAACCCAAAAAAAACTCTCAGATCTATCTCCCCTTTGGTCCAGGACCCAGGCGCTGGTGTTGCGGGTGCTCCAATGTCCCTTATCCAACGCTG